CTCTAAGGCAGAGACTATGCACTAGATAATCGAGATTAGGGCCAGATGAACCCAAGAGTACTCCAAGATACTACCCTCTCGACGGCCTCTATCCTCCCTTTTATTCTGAGCTCGTAAGAACTCCTTTTCATCCGCAGTCAGCGCTTTGGACGGACGCCGTGGTGACCGAGAGTGATGATGGCGATGCGACGAAGAGTGCCGATCACGGCCCATTACAGAGAACACACCAACCCTGTCTGACATCGCGCATGCCTCGCTGTCGTCGTCGTCACGCATACCATCAACAATTCCTCAGCCACCTAACCAAGTCTACTCTGGGGCCCATAATGCGGGAGATCTCGACAAGAACTATTCGTAACTTGGCTTGTAAATTATCTAAAATCCAATACTGCTCTCTAGAGGCCCCTCCCTCAGTTACAGCTCCAACCCAAATATCTCCGAGTTGGTGCTACTCGGTGCTGTATCAGGCACAGTGCACCATATTCCGCCGAAACGCCATGTACATTTGCCCTGGAATCCCCCGGTTGGCAATGTTATGGTGTAATTAGAATTAACGAGACCTAGTCCAATTTCAATACGTAGCGTTCATAAAATTAACCTATCATATCTAATATTAATACAGAGTATTTATTCCTGCTACTCAAGTGAACATCATTTTTATGGCCGAAAAAACGTCGGGTGCCGGGATCGAACCCGGCAAGACAACGAGGACAATTTGGGGCACATATGCCAAGATATCCGTTGAGGTTGCCACAGTCAAGATACCAATTAGGTCCCCAAGAGTTCCATCGAGTAGATCGGGAGATTCTCATGTCGGGTACATAACGATCAAATTCTCTAACCCTCCCTGTCTCCCGCAGCTGGGCTTTACTCTGCACCTCATCCCAGTCGTTTTGACATGTAAATGTCTCTGCTACGCTCCCTACCGCCCCTCCTTCCTCTCGGCATCCTCACCTTGGCCCTAGCCTTCCTAGCCGGGCCTGGCTATTGGTGCATTGCAGTGGGGATGATGACACTCACTTATTTAGTCTCAGGGCTACTCCTTTTGGTCCTGTGGAAACATTTCAGGGAGGATCGACACACGCTGAAGATTATGGGTATCTTCTACTGCTGCGGTGCCACGGGGGCCATTCTGACCGCTCTCCCTCTAGCGAAAGTAATGATAACAGTATAATTGTAGTCCTTATGAGCCTCTCCATTCTCAGCTAGCCTTAAAGACCTGGTCCACACTCTCCTCGTCCTGCGTTATGATGGTGCCACAGTGCTGCGGGGTCGACGAGCTCTTGCCGGGCCCAGTTACTAGGTGTTCCCCTAGCTTGACTCCATGCAGATCCTCAGAAAACTGCATCGCAGCGGGAATGACTGACTGTCGCGTTGAGCTGAAACCTTCTAATAATGGTAATGAATGAACTTTGGTTAACTTGCGTATTCGAGAAAAAGATCGTGTCGAGGGAATCTGATGTTTCTACTCGCAAGGCTCCATGCCAACCTCTGGTTGTGATCATGCTTCTTAGGGTCTCTTACATGCTCGTTACTCCTTGGATGGGAATGGGTAATGACACCAGGGCTCATAGAAGAGTGCAGCAAGGCTCTCTGGTTCCTACTCGTTTGGTTCATCTATCGTAAGTTATCGAAGACCAACACCTCAACACAGTGTCGACTTCTATACGCCATGGCTGTCGGTGCTGGCTTCGAGACGAGCGAAAACATCAGGTATCTTCGGGCTTTATGCAGTGTTCGGACTCTTCTATCGCCAGGTACGCCTTCCCTGAACTGGTGTCCATGGACTATAGTCTCTGGCCGTATATATTTCAATTGGATTTCGCCCCCGACGTCTTCACGCATCTTCGCTTCATCGCCTGCCTCCATAGGAGTGTGTCTTCCTTCCTGCACGTTATTTGGACGGGTTACTTCGGTAGCTACCTTTCTCGGACTGCACTATTGCTTTCGATCGCCTTGCATGGCTTATACGATTTCTTTGGTACACTTAGTCAGACTCACGAAGCTTCAGGTGGTTATACGTACGTCAACGTTTATGTTGGTAAAATAGGAATATTTATTACCGTTGCCGTGTCACTACAGCTCTTCGCCGATCGTGTGATGAGCATCTCTGAGGTCGACCTTGGAGATGAAGAGGATGATCTGCCGCTCACAAGAACCCAATCGTTATACGATCCAGTTCAATATAGTGGTCTAATACCACGGAGAACTCTCACCACACAGCGCTCTCGATCCTTCAAGACCGCAGCTAACGTGTTCAAGGAGTGCATAGAGGAGAGGAACCACGTTAATGATTGGGCAGCGTCGATGAGCTTGCCTTCACATTCTAGTTCTGCGACGGCCTATATGGTTTCCTATTCCTCCATTCTTGCGTTGCGAGTCGCCATATTGCGGCCTTCTCCAGATTGAATTTAAAGCTGCTATGGAGTCTTCTTCAGCGGCTTGTGATGACTTTCTCCGTCTTGACTCTCTGCCAGCAACGGCCATAGTATCTCTAGTAGGAGAAGGTAACCTGCATGCTGTAGTTACCATTGCTAACACTGGTAACCCGACCCTAGATGACGAGCTGCAGTCAGGAAAAGTAATGCTGTTCATGGACGCTGCTGGAGTGCCTCGTTTTCTCAGCTGATTCGCATTTGCAAGGCGCCGGTTAGCAGGCAAGCGGCGATAGAGCGGTCAGAGCACTACTTGGTCGTCTCTGCAGCCCTGGGTGGAGAGTATCTTCCGGATGAACACCCTCCTAAAGTATTGGTTCTCGCGCGAGGAGTGCTCCGTGCGATTGACGAACAAGTTGGCCATTACCGTGTTCGGAAACGAATTGACAAATGCCCAACATTTGAAGGTGTGCTGCTGGTTATTGCCGAGAACCCTACATAATGAAGCTCTCAGGTGCATGCTTCACGACATCAACTTCGGGTGATCAGTGCCATGCACAGATCATGACAGACATCTCGACCAACCTTGGTGCTGATACGATAACATTTGAGTTGAAGCCTAAGTGTGGTATCCGTGCTGTCCCTGGGTACCCTTGTCGTTTCGTGATGCAGCGTAGTGATGATCCTGGCTTCGACCTCGACAAGTTCTACGATCCATACAGGCTCTATTTCGGACATGATATCTATGGTGAGGTGAAGAAGCTCTTTGACCAGAGACCTCGAGGCTTCCTGAAGTTGAGATCGCCTGGGACTCTGTCGACTTTACCGCGAGATGCTGTTTGTGAGGCCATCTCAACAGTGCTTCGTTCGACGCCAATCTTATCTCGGTTAGCAGCCTTGCAGAACTATGCTTCGATAGATGAGGCACTACCAGACTTCGCGGCTAAGCTCTGGGAATGGCTTGTCGAGCAATGCCGGCTCGATCCAAGCATAGTGATTCGGCATCACTATCCTCATACTCTACCTAGTGTGGAAGAGTTCCGATCATTCGAAGCTGTTCATGATATCGGTAAAGTCACTGAATGGCTGTCCATATTTCTACTAGGCCGTATGGCCATGGACGTCAGTCTGTTTCTATCCTTTTCCCCGCAGGCAGTCGGTCCTCCGTTCAATCAAGTTGATGAGGTGGATGCCGGAGAGCTCTTTCCAGGGCATCGCGGAAAGCCTCTGTGGTGTCGTCTCACTGTTATCGACACCGATCCCAAGCCTTTCAGTAAGCTGCCCTTCTACTTTGGTCAACTGGCCAAGTGCAAGGTGAAATTTGAGGAGCATTCTCCAGCAGTCACTGAGTGATTTAAATGTGGCGTATACTGTTTCAGCATCATTTTATAGTATTTTTCGTAATGAAGGAGTAAACGAAAATGCTGTTCCCATGTACGCTTGGGTGCGAATGATCAATGCCTTGTAGTTGTTCGAGTGAGACCTTGGATCCTGGGTGATGAATTTAAAAGGGAAAGGCGCTACTGTGCCACGAGTTCTTCCAATATTCGCCCTCGGTCTAACTCGATCTACCATCATAACAACATATCATTTCCCGCAGTGCAGTAATTTACAATTCGATCTACATTTTCGGATATAGTCTAGCCACAATGTGGAAGTGTACCGCCTTTCACGAATCGTGAATCGTGATGGATAGCGCAGAGCTTTAGCTCGCCTTACTCAGGATCAATGATCACCATCGGCTGGCGGAACGGCAGATATTTCTATATCCTCTCTGCCTTTGTTTAAAGTTGACCATTCACCCAATCAACGAGTCTGAGCACAGTACACGAGCCAATGAGATACGTCAGCAATCACGTATGTAGATCGATAGAAGGCTGGCTGCGGACCAGCGATAGATTTCAACGAGGTTCGGCTGTCTCTCTCAATTCCGTGAGGGGCTCTCTTGCGTCCGCGCCGACGTCGTCTGGTAAGGAGTGAATCCCAAGATGTTCAGCGACATCCCCATCGAGCCCATGGTGATCCGTCACTTGGTGGCTACGATCTTATTCGTGTATGTGACAACTGTTGTGACCAAGAATGTGTGGTCAAGCTCCGATACTACCACTCTCATGCGTCGGGTTTGCGTCTCCGCAGACACTGGATACTCAATGATAACTTCGCAAGACTGGCCCTACCTAGTGGTTACTACATGGCTTTCGACGTGTGTGTTGAGTCGATACGAGCTGTTCCTCCTCGACTACTCTTGTTAGTGAAACGCCGTGTGATAGATTTTCTACCTGAGAAAAAAAATCGTACTGCTGGGGTGCTCCACATCCCTACAGCAGTCCTTGGAATCTGCCATTCTATCATTGCAGCACTCACTTTCATCAACACAACAGGTTGTTTAGCGCTCGCCTCACGGATACTTCGCTAGGTCACACACTTTCCCTCTTATCGGGGATGGTGGTACGATCCCCAGCTGGGGAATTTCTCCGTCAGAAACCGTACCGTGTTTCTCTCTCATTTAAACATCCCTGCTTGATAATGGTGTGACTGCGGCTGTAACGAACAGTCGGCCTCTTTTGCGGCTGGCTCAATAGCACCACCAATACTCCTTGTCCCCCTTTCCTCCACTGGTCTCACATTTCATCCTGGCGGAGGAGCCCTGAGTAGCTCATCCTGGAATAGTTTATTGCGTATTAATATTGCGCGGTTATCGATCGTGTTGGCGTGCGCGGTAATCGCTGTGCGTTTCCCTAGCTTTCGGTGGTCGGCTTCGCATCATGCTGCATGACACATTACTCATGCGTTGCTTTACAGTGGTGAACTTTGAGTCGAAGGGTAGTGACTCATTCTGTCTGCTGTTTCGTCTGTCATTTCCACGCGAGTGGGTGCTCGTGATAATCGTTTTCGCCGCTCAAGCCTAAGGTAGCTGTCGTTGTTCAGGGACAGATTTCCTATTCCCTTTCGAGTACTCTCGCTCCATTGGTACATGGACACCTTATGTTATTATGCCTTGTAATATACGAGTTCCCTGCGGTCTTATGGTGGATTGACTTGTTTGAAGAGCCAACACCGACTCGTTGGGTCGGGTCTGTCACTGCTGCTTGTGTGTATGCTGCTTGCCATTCCCTCATTGTTCCGGCCATTCTTGTTCATGCCAATGTCAAGTTGTTCCTCTTATGAGGCTCAAGTTCAATTAGTGTCGTTTGCTCTTACGAGACCTCTGACTTGTATGGTTCTATGTCTAGCCCGCTTCGTTGTAGTCACATGGGAAGTTCCTCTAGAACCATCCTCCGCTCTCTTAGATTGGTTGTTTTTCTGTGTTTTTTTCTACGGGCGCTCTGCTCCTTAGCGTGATTTTTTCAGCGAGGCTTTCGGTGAGTCTCTTGATTGATTCATTTATCCTACTTCTATTAGAACGATGTTCATTCATAACCTCCGCGCTAATAGCAGTTAATACTGTTCTAGTTTCCTAAGTGCAATTGTGAAAAGAGTTGTTGTGCTAGTCCCTTTGGGATGTAGGCATCAGTGGCCCACTCGATGACAGCATTACATGCTCTTCTGTCGCTGATTCTGTGTCTCGATAACTGTAGTGTTGTGTGGGTTACGGTACCACGAATTTGATCAGCATCCAAGCACGCTCGTACGTACACATGAGTGCAAGGTCAGTTCGGCGTAGTACACCTCACCTTTCGGTTAGCAAGTGATTGTTGTATGGAGACCACTACGGCGGCAGCTGCAAGAACCACATCAAAAACCGCGTTGGCTACTTGTTCTTCGTCGACTGCCGATTCCACTGCCATGTCTGGTCCGTTGGGTGGGGAGCGATCTCTGCAGGAGGTAGAGGGTCCTGTTACTGTAGGTGAACCCATCCAACGGGGGAGTGGAATCCTGGAGGCTGTGAAGTTTCTGTCGGCACCTCATCGATCGTCGCAACAGCTACACAAGCTTTCACAGGGGGCATGTGCGGCGATGATGGAGGCTTATAATGCATCTGTCGTTTCTGATGAAAGAAACAGCAAGTTTGACGTAGAGCAGGCCTTGAACGAGCTTCTGGACAAGTACACTGAGTTGACGAAGGAGACTGTCGAGGAGTACCGCAATGAGCGAGATCGCGAACGTGGGGTTGGGCATTCGAGTGAGTCCTTGATGGGGAAGCGGTCTGCCAAGGTGGGAGGGGACGATGAGGGAGTTCGGAAGAGGAGGAGGATGAGAAGTGACGACGAGAGTAGTAGTGCCACCATGAGCAGCACCACAGCGGAGGTCCACAGGAGGGAGGGGACGCGGCGCGCCATAGCCCTACTCGATGTTGCCCAGGAAGAGGACGGAGACCACAAGGAAGATGATGATGATGAGGGGAGGAAGAGTCATCACAATAAGGGTAACAGTAAGACTTCTGTGAAGGGGAAGGTGAAGAAAAAGAGGCCGATATCTTTCAAGATCACAGATGCAGAACAGGTTAGCAAAATGGTCATTCACATAGTTTAAGTTCCTGTCTTTAGGTGACGAGGAAGTTCGTGAAGGCCATGAAGGCGGAGTGCTTGACGGTGACCGATCGGCAGAAGGCCCTGCGGGGTATATTTATGGGCTCATCGCCTGAACTTCGGGAGGCTGCTATTGCTAAGTAGGGATTCTTCATCGACTTCTCTCCGTTGTCGAGCTTTGTGTTTTTTTGCTCAGTTTTACGCACCATAAGGGCCTCGAGCTTATCGGTAGTTGGATGAAGGAGGTGAATAAAGACAAGGACCCAGAAGTGGGGCCTATGCTGGTTTACTTGGGGTGTTTGGAGCGAGTGGTCATGACCGTTGACCTGCTCAGAGCGACCAGTATCGGAAAGGTGACCAATACAGCAGCATGGGCTTCTTTCACGATCATTGATTCAGATGGTGACGGCCAGTGTGAAGGCCTTCAGTGGGAGGTCGGAGATGGTGGTCACTAATGGTAGACGTTTGATCGAGAAGTGGAAGAAGATTGCTTGCTCGAGCGGAGTGTCCCCTGGTGGGACGAAGCCTCAGAGCATCACGTCCCCTCCTCCCCCTCCTCCTGCAACTCCTCCAGGCGGCTTCAAGCCTGTGATCGCGGCTAAGTCCAGCGCCCCTTATGTCCCTGTTGTTGCCGCTAAGTCGAGTGCACCGCCTCCCTTATCTAAGTCTCCTACCACCAATGACAGCTCGGTTCCTGCCACGGCTGCTGCTACCGAAGCACCTTCCCCCCCACCCTCGAGGAGTGTTGGAAGTCCCCAGGCTGCGGCATCGAAGTAGGTGGTGCCTAGCGTTCTACAACGCTGAATGCCTTCTGACAGGTCTCCAGCACTCACGCTTCCTGTTGGTCGACGACGGCCGGCTGGTATGGACTCTTTGGAGGTGCGGGGCTCGCCTATGAACTCCCCACACTTCTCTCCACCTCCAGCTGTCCAGAGTGGATCAGGAAAGAGTCCTTCCGTTCCCTGCAAAGACAGTGGTACGTTCGAGGGTGACGTGCGCATCTTCGTTGTATCGCTGATGTAGATACGGACCGTTCTAAGGTGTACTCGGAAGGTAGGCGGAGCTCTACCGATGATCTAGAGGGGCTCATGGACCTCATGAGCCCCGGGGGGAGAGACGACGACGATGCCCGAGAGGTCTCCATGAAGAATGTTACGGCTGAAGATGAGGAGGAGACTTCCTTCGGGGCTGTGCCCACCAACATAGAGGAAGATGATGACATGGCTGACATCTTAGGGTAGGGGGGAGCTCTCATTCTCGAGGTGTTGTTAGGCTGTACACTCAGGTTGATGGATCTGCCCGGTACCACTCCGGGCGAGTTCGATGATGACGATCATCCCGCGGGCCTGAATGGGGATCGAGCGGGGGTCTCTGCTGAGGATGAGGGAAATGGGCAGTCGAGGAAGCCGAGGTTACAGTGGAAGAAGGATGAGGAGCTCGTCAATATGGTCGTTTTCATCAAGAATGAGCCGTTATGGGACACTGTCCAGTAAGATCCGTCACCATTTCCCTCCTTGGTAGTTTTGTATTATTCTTCACTTTCAGAGCCATTAACGATGCTCGTGGTACTCACGTCACCTACGTTGAGCACGGACACACATCCAAGTTCATGGAGCAGCGTAAAAAGGAGGACGCAATGGTAGGTTCATACCACACAATCTTCAATTCACGAAGTCTCTCTCAGGGTGGTACGCAACTCCGGCACCAATACGGTCATTTAGACTCTGCCCCTGCGGCAACTGGGGCCTCGCCATCCCGAGGGAAACGGTCCACTGCAGCTGCTTTGCTCGCGAGCCTCGGTGGGTCTTCGTCGTCATTGGAAGATTCCAACACCGCTACTTCCGACAACATTGGGGAGAAGGTCATCTGGCTGAAACAGCTCCCTATGGTGATTCTGCCGACTGATTGTACGCGTGTCATTGGCCAGCTGAAGAGCTACGAACGACAGGACCTTGCTGATCTTCATGGTGGACGTACTGAAGTTTTTTACTCGCCTGAAGCGGGTGTTCGCATACCGGATTCTCCGGCCGAACCCGCTCCTGGTCGCTCGGTGTTCCTCATGGCGCCTGATGCGCTGCAGAACGAAACCGTTGAGGTGAAGCTGAAGGTGAAGGACAGTAAAAGTCGTAAAAAGGCCGCATCTGCGGTGGCAGTGCCCCCTAGGGCTGACGAGGATACGGGCGTTGTGGTCCTGGACGAGGGTCTTGAGGGCTCCCCTGGTGCTCCCCAACAGCCGTCCTTAACGGAGGTTTCGCCTGTCAGTAGCGACGATAGCGTGCCTGGTGTACAGGATCAGGAGGACCAGATATTAGCAGCGTTGATTACGGCCTCCACCGGTGGCCCTATAGGTGACGGGAAGGGCCCATTGGGGTCGGCTGCTGGGGAAGTGCGGTTCGAGAGTGAATTCGTGAAGTTAGATCCGGGGCTACAGGAAGCCATCATCAAGAGTGAGCAGTTCCTGAAACTGTTCCAGGACCAGCCGTGGTTGATGATAAACCTGACAACAGACTCTCTTGGTCGGATCGGGAAGATGATGGACCTGTACAGGGAGAAGGCGAAGGAAGAAGCAGAGGAGGAGGCCCAGAAGAAGAAGCGAGAGGCCCAGGCCCAGGCCCAGCAGGCCCAGATGGCCGCGGAAATGCAGGCCAAGTTGGGTCACAGCCCTTCCCCTACTCCTGATGATATCTCGAGCTCAGCGGCAGAGTCGTCACCGAGTCGGACGGCGGAGAGCTATGAGAAGCGTGGTTGGGGGGTTACGTCTATCCTTACTAGTCTCAAGGAGCAGGTTCGAACTCACGTGAGGAGTGAGGTAGCGGCTGCTGCTACGCATAGCACCCCTTCTGGTGGTGGTAAGGGCTGGCTTGGTAGCTACGGTCGGGGAGGGGGATGGTACCCAAGCGTGCCTGGTGGGGGGTCTTCTACTTCGTCCAAAGGGTATGGTGAAGGTTGGGATGATACCTCTGGTGGGCAAGGTTGGGCATCATCCACGAGGAAGCAGGACGGTGATGGTTCGTACCACCTCCCTTCTGAACATTCAGTATCGTCCTCGTCTGGTACCACTGGTTATGCTGACGCCAGTCGTAGGTACGGTGGTGGTGCTGAGAGCTACAAGGATCGTTATACGATGGGTGGTGGGAAGGGAGGTGGGAGGCATGGGGGCTATGGTGGTGGTCAGCACCAAGAGGAATACGGAAAGGGTGGTGGAAAGGGCGGATACCATGGCAAGGGTAGTGGGGGTTATAAGGGTGGTGGTGGATACGGCTGGGGAGGAGCTTCTGGAGGGTATCGGGGCAACTCTGGTGGATGGAACAACAAACGACAGCAGCATTGGCCTTCTCCTCCTCCTTCCTCTACTACCGATGGTGCTCCCTCTCGGCCGAACAAGCATCCTCGAACCACTGCTTACTCCTCTTCATGGAAGTGAGGTTCAGTCGTTTTCGTCCATTATTGTCACTATTCTGTGCCCTATCACCGCTCATAATAGTCGTAAATTCGTTCTGTGTCACCATTATCGCCTCCAATTTGTGTATCATTGGAAGATCATCTTCCTGGACAACCGCCATCACCGGCCCTCTCCTGCTTCTTCTCTATGGGATCCGTCGGTGGTCTGTACCGAAGCACCGTAGTTGTATCGTCAACGTCATTGTTGTGTTGGTCACACCCAAGGAGGACTGTTGGTGTCAGTAGCAATGGGAAAGAAGGGAGGATCCCCGAAAAAATCTAAGAAGCAGCTAGAGGAGGAAGCTCTGAGGGCCAGAGAGGAGGCTAGGAGAGGTGGGGACTCACTGGCCTGATGTTGGGGAGTATCTTGTGGTATCTAGAGGCTGAAGCTGGTAAGATACGGCAGATGTCCGCTCGGCTGACTGCCGATGCTGAGGCTAGGATAGGTCTCGATCGAGAGAGGGAGAAGGGCAAGGAGGAAAAAGTGGGGGCTATGGGTTGTACAGTGCGTTGAAGTAGTACTAAGATTCGGCTCGAGCTCGAGTCGGGCGAAGTAGAATATGGTAAGAGTCAGCGATGGGCTATAGTGAGCAAGATGAAGCAACAAGAGCGAGAGAAGAGAGAATGGGAGGAGTTTGCTGCCTGCACTCGAAGGCCCAACATTCGGCGGGAAGCGGACATCGTCACGTATGCACTCATCAGGACTGGGGTGATGGTGGACGGACATGCCTTGCAGGTATGAGCAGTGGCTTGAAGACGACGCTGAAGAGGCTAGGCTCTACTCTGTATCGTGTAGTGAGCCTGGGATAGGATCATGCTCCAATGAAGGAAGTACTCTCTGGTCGAGGGTCTCAGTATGAGCGCGCACCTGATCTCATTCGTTTCTGTGTTGTGACTGTAGTAGATGGAGACCAGCAATTCCAACGGCTCCACTTGAGCCTTCTGGTTCAACCGGGTTCACCTTGTCAGAAAGTGTGCGTCAACTGAATTATTCTCTACTATTAGTATGATTCGACCGCACGGGGGCCAACTCTGTATCATGACAGTTTCAATCTAGGATTCTCTCCCAGGTACGCCCTTCACAGCAGTCCACCTCGAGCCAGCCGCTGCCGAGACTTCCGTCCAGGCCGTCCTGGCTGATTTCCATCGCTGCAGCGTCGAGAGGGCCTTGGCCGTCGGCCACTTCACCGAATTCCTCGTGGCAGACCTCTTCCAAGGGTAGCCTTCCTTTTCCATTGTTCTTACCACCTTTCAAGGTACCTCCGAGCGCTGGCGGACGCCGACACTAGGATGATGATTCGGTCTTTGGACCATATTGAGAGGATCAGGACCACCGGTCGGCACTCACCTCGTGTCTTTGTCTTTGACGTCCATGTTAGCTTTGGCTCGGCACCTGGACTACGCCACTGGGCATTTGATTCAGTTCGCGGATGAGATAGAGGCCATCAACGTCGATGAGGTTCAAGGTACTTGGGGGCAGGTAACTTCCCTATTCTCAGTCGCGGCCCCATCGGTCTGTTGTCAGGTCCAAGATGACGTGTTTGTCGCTTTTTGGGCGTTCCTTCGGCCGGAAGGATTCGAAGGGAAGCAAATAGAGCTGCCCAAGTTCAAGATGGTATTCCTCTCTGTAGCAGCCCCACTGGGCATCCTTGGTCAGATCATCGAACTCCCCAAAACGGTGTCTCTGGGCAATAAGGGCCACGGAATCGGGGTCCGATGGCTGGTCACGGGGAGTCCCTCCAAGGTGCTCTTCTCAGGTCCGACTGGTATACACTCGTTACGACTCCAGCTGCTGCTTCGCTGATGCTGTGTTGAAGTCATTACAGTCTGGCAATGGGGATGGTGGTATTCCTACGTCCTCTGAGGAAGATACGGCAGAGGCCCAGTCTTGTGATAAGGGATGGCTCCGGCGGGACTACCTTGGCCGGCAGCCGACAGACCCTGGGTTCGGCAGAGAAGTGGGTGGTTCTTCCACTATAATGCCTCTTATGACCGTCCCTTCCCTTCAGAGTCCTCCACCACGCTATACCATTGGAGGCGTGGTCCACATCGACGTCGTGTCGGTCCCACAGCTGCGATCGAGAGAAAACGGCTGGCTGATACGGAGGCTGCCACCAGATGATGGACCTAACTACACTGTATGAGTCCCGAGTAGTGTAGCTGGTCTCGATGCCTGCTTGCTCAGAGGCTACCTTTCCCGTCTTCTATGAGCACAAGGGTGGCAGATCTTGGGAGCTGCAAAGTTGAGTATCGCCTCCCCGAGGGAATCGTCGTTGATAAGCCGCAAGTAAGGTGAGAAACAGCAGCGGAGCGAAGCGCTGATCTTTAGGTTACTTGGAGGGATATGGCAAGTCAGAGCTGGTCTGATAGAGGAATTGGAGAGGTTCAGTGGGAGTCTTCGACGAGGAAAGTCACATTTTCCGCGACACTCTTGGGGGCCTTCGCTGTCACTGTCTCTCGATTCGACCAATTTCCCTATCGCCAATGGTGGGTCCGGACCAAGCACTCGGGCCTATGCCTCTTTTATCAGGCGAATCTCCATCCTCCCGGCACTGAAGGGGTCGGCGGTCCATAGATGCTGGTTGACAGTGGTCACGGGTAGGGGCTCGTGAAGAAGTCCACGCAAGTGCAGTTGGTCGCTTCTTGCAGCCGTGGGGCTGCATGTAAAATTCGAGCTTGGTCCAGCAGGAGTTCACTTGGTCAGTCCCGAGAGGGATGAGCTGCGGCAGCTGAGAGTTGATGGGGAAGGACAGGGTGGGCCCGGTGGTGGTCTGTGGTCCCCTCCATGGTGCTCCAGGCATCTTCTGGTCGCCAGCCGTGCTACTGACAAGACTGAGGGACGCTGGTATCAATTTACTGCCAGTGGATGAGGACGCCCAGTGGTTAAAGAAGCCAAGGTCGCCTTTTGCTTGTCGTGGTGAGCTACAGTGTCAACTCTCAGGGAAGTGAAAGATGCGTCTGTTGAGCTCATGACTTGCAATGAAATCGCTGAGGTGGTGGCGATGTAGGCCTCAGTGTCACCAATGCTGTCACCATCTCTCTCCTAGGAGGTATGATATAGCTGGGTCGAGGCGCAACAATGCCCCCGAATGTGGGAAGGAGCGTATAGTGTTCCGGGCTAGGCCCAACTCTACCGGCGCTGGGCTCGATGATGGTGATAATGAGCAGCAGAAGGAATACAAGTAGGAAGGGTTCGCTCTGCTCCATCGTACCATTGAGTGTTCAATTTAGATCGATCATGGCGTGGTCCAATAAGTATGCTGTCATCTCGGCCACAGAGGAGTCGGAGTAAGCTCGTCAGCGGTGGCTCTCCCTCTACCTCTTCTCTCAGCTTCGACGAACCATTGGAAGCCCTGACTCACTACAGTGCCAGCATTGCCCTCACTGGCTCTACGGAGTCCCTCGCCACTGACGCTGACACCGCCCAGTGAGTGGCGTCAAGGGTCTTGTCTTGACATTTTTCTTGAAGGTACGTGGACTCTGTGGCCCAGACACTTCGCTTGACACGACTGCTTAGCTTTGGATGATCGTACATGATTGCCATGAATCGCTGTTGTATATTATGATGCTTGGGTTCAGGAAAGGATACGCCGTTTTAATCTGGGTAATTTATTCCGATGATGGGATTAACTAGCTCGCACATAATCGTTTGTCCATACAACGTTTGTTGAAGTTGCAATGGCCGTCTCTGAACTTCCTCGGTTTATCCTCGTTCTTAGCAGCGGTAGCAGTCCATCGTCCTCCTCCAAGGCCCTCACCAAACCAGGGGATGTCCTCACGATGGGCCGAATGCCCGACTGCGACATAGTTTTCAAGAGCAATGCCATCAGTGGCAACCACTATTCTCTTGCCTACCTCCAGGATGGACAGGTCAGATTGACCGATACCAGCTTTAATGGTGAGGGTCTTGGAGATGTGCCTCGAGTACGACTACCGGATGGTGTTGTGCATAGTTGAACAACTCGTGTTTTGGCTGAGCTCTCCTCAGAAGGCCATTGGGTCATTCATAGTCCTAATTTCAAATTCAAAATTCCATTTCGAACTGAAACTATGTCCTCTATTCTACGCACGGTTGTGTGGGCTATGATCATCATGCTTCATGCGTTGCCGATCTCAGGCACTTACGTAAACGGCGAATTGGTGGGTAAGGGAAAGACGGCGTCCATCCGTGCTGGTGATCGGATCGGTCTTGGCCGGCCTATGGCCAATTCTAAGGTCTCTCGTCAAAGCAAAAACGGCAGCGCCACTCGTGTACCATCCGTGAGCTTCCTGGTGGAATATACTGCGAAGGTAGTGGAAAGGGGAGTCACCACCTTGTGCTCAATTCTAATGTTTTCAGTTTGTCGACCCTCCCGGAGTCACCAATGTCCCTTCACCGTCGAGGCTGAGGGCTGCAAGTGCCCCTATACTCGATCGCGATGAGAAGGACATGCCGACGAAGTCCATACGGCCAATGAGTGCTGCGGTCCCTGGACAGGAAGGCAGCGTACTAGGTAATAGGGTAGGAGGGTAGGGGTGGGAGCATGGTTCGGCTTAGCAACTCCGGCTGACTTGAGCGTGAGGGCTGATAGTATGATGAAGACTCCTAAACAGGGCCCCACAGTACGCCAGATGAAGGTCGATCGAATACGGCAGCCTATCAATGTAGAAGAGTGGGGGAGGGTCGGGAGGAAGAAGTCTCCGTTCAGGTCAAGGCTGGGACCGAGAGGCGGGAGGTCTCTTTCGACTTGCCTAAGACCACCGGGGTAGCGCTGGACCAGGGCTCACAGCAGTCCTCACAGAGGGGAGATGAGAACCCTGAGTGACTGAAAGCTGGAGGGAAGCGCTGGAGTGTCCCTTATGGTAGGTCCGTGCTGAATGGTGGTACCATGGGCAGACCACGACCACAAGTCCGGACAGTGGTGACGGAGTCGGAGAATAGACGGTCCTTTGGTCTTGGTAGGGACCTCATGTAGTGTGCGGCTCATCTCTGGTCCTCGCCGGTGCATGTTGGCTCTGCCCGAAGAGGAAGGAGCGAGAGGAGTCCCTAGTGGGTGAGACCAAGGCCTTGAGGGCTAGACTGGCCAGTAGAGAGGGGGAGTTGGCTACGCTGGAGGAGAGGCTACAAGAGACCGAGTTGACCATGACTCTCAAGAAACGCAAGTTAACGTCTACCGAACAGAAACTTAAAGATGTACGCACTTGTGGACGGCTAAGGCCAACCTTGGGTTCGGCCCAGGCCCAGACGGAGGTCACGTCGACCAGGGAGTCTCTCTCGAACCTCCAGGAGGCCCACGCTGAGCTTAAGGCGAGATGCGAGGGCCTGGTGAATGCCACGAAGAAGTCCAAGGCAGAGAGGGAGGTTCTGGTGGAGAAGGTATGTCTAGATAGGGCATGGTGGCGCGTGAGGGTCCTCACCGTCAGTTGAACGCTGTGGAAGCGAGGGCGAACTCGACCGAGAGTGAGCTTCTCTACTGCCAGGAACAAGTCCATGGGCTACAGCAGAGCCTTGAGCAGGAATGTACAGTGGAGGGGTAGTGGCCACTGAGGAGGATCATGACAGGCGAGCAGTCGAGGAGTCTTTCGACGGACCTGGAGAATTGTCGTGGTCGCTGCACGGCATTGCAAGGGGACCTGGAGGAGACGTTGGGGAAGCTGCAGACGGTAGTGTAGGCATGCTGAGGGTGGCCCTAAGAACGAGACAGGCCCTGACTGATCGGACTGGTCTCTTGGCTGAGCTGGGAAGAGTGCATGAGGAACTCGAGGGCACCAAGGCTAGTGAGTGCCGTCGTCCTCTTTCCCTTTTCCATGGTTTTCTCAATAGTCACCAACAGGGAACTAGAGGCGGCCAAAGCACTGAGCACCGCTATAAGGGATAGTCTACAGGCGTAAAACATTACAATAGGGGTCGAGAGAGGCCCTCTGATAGGTTCGAGAGTAGGAAGGTGCCTGGTCTACCCCCTTCTAGAGCCCTTCCAGAGGTATCCACTATATCTCCAGTGAAGCTTAGAAGCGCTGACATGGTACTCGTAGTAGCAGTGGTAGGACGGATAGAGCAATGCTCAGGGTCCGGTAGAGCTCAGCCACACTGCTACGACTGTGAGGTCGATGACCCAGGAGGTGGTATCGGAGTTGGCACAGGTAGTGGTGTAATTGCAGGAGATAAGAGTATCTCTTTCTAGTCCCTCCCCAACGCTGCAATGACTTCCTCGTTGGCAATGGTAAGGCCCTCTTGGGCAGCTCCTACTATGAACACCACGCCTTTCAGTCTGTAGTGGAGGAAGGCCATCAGTCGATGACACAGTGCTCAGCGGTTGCCCAGAGGGACAATAGTACATCCTCGATAGACGGGTGGTGGAGGGGGAGGGGGATGAATCCTGGGGTGATGGCCCCTCCTGCCTTAGGGCCTCCTTGGGCTCAGCAGTGTCGGCTATGAGACGTGAAGGCAGTGTGGGCCATGAGGTACAGGCTCAATCAATCTTTAACAAAAGTAACAACCTCCAGGTCTCTGAAGATAAGGGCGGTCGAGGAAGGTCCGAGATTGTCGAAGGTAGTGGTCTGGTTGGTTGTGGTCCAGTCGGCCTGTTAGGCACGCAGATGATGAGGGCGACCGGAGAGGACGTGACTCGGGGAGGGTGCCCCAGTGGGTCGTAGGATGCTTGTACAGGTTGGAGAAGGGGACTCACGAGCGGAGCTTCTGCCAGCAACGGTTGGAATGCTCCAGCCCACTGTGGACTCGACTGAGCAGGAAGTGGCCATAGACGCTGATGACGAGTTCGAAGACTTTACTGAGGATATTCCGTCACTGCGCCACGAAAATAGTGAGGCTCTCCTGATGAGACCAGACTCGTCCGTGTCACCACCAGGCGTTCGAGGAGGGACTTTTGACGACTTCGACTTGGATGCCTCGCCTGGAGGGAAGAGACAGCGGCAGGAGGAGGCCTTTGCTGAGTAGTACTGTCCTGAGTGGGGAAAGGGTAGTGATGGTGCCCCTCAGTGACTTCGCTGACTTCGAGATATCCCAGCGTGGGACTGGTATAGCCGCGGGGGGTAGCAGTAGCAATGACAGCCTCCTGGCGGAATTGGACCTCGACGCCTTCTCCCCCTTGCCGCCTCCGAGGACGACCACCACCAATGGGCCACCAGCTGATGCCTCACGAGGGGTCATCGATGATTTGGCCGACTTTGACGATTTCTGACCGCTCTTCGGAGAAGTTTTCCACGTACAGTACATGATGTATCTTCGAGTCACTGCCGCCCAGTGGCTCCTCCCCAATGAGCATGTTTACGTCTGCAGTGTTTCTCTCCAGCCACTAAAGTGTCGCGTAATGGGGCTTCCCTTGATCGGGCAGACCTTTTTTATATGGATGCCATTACCGCCCTTACCGCCTCCCCCACCGGACCCTCCAGGGCCCGACGACTGCTGTGGCAGCGGGTGCTGCCCCTGTATATGGGATACGTAGGAGCGCCATAGGCGGACTGCCCCCTGTACGTAGTGTCAGCAGGTATTATGACAGTGTGGAGCGGTGGGAGGGCGACCATGGCTGGTCTCTAGAGGAATACGGTAGACTCCAAGCCCAAGAGGATGCTGACCATCAGATCACTGAGGACAGCCTGGACGCAGCTCGGTCCTCAACTACAGTGGGCGTAAAACATGCTCATGATGTTGTTGGTCTCTATTGGAGGCTACGGAGATCGGTAGAGGCTCTATGGGCTTTTGCTGCCTATCAGCCGCTTTTGTCAGTTGCTTCTTGCCCCTGGACTGGTCCGTCATCTGGCTGCCCACGCGCCGTGGCTCTGATATCGCCGCGAGGTCTCTCGTGCAATATAATTCGACGCGATAGTATCCTAATTTGACTCGAGGGCTTTGCGTTTCCAGTGGATACCGAGGACCTCAGTCAGTCCCCAGTCTAGAGTGCATGCCCCCTGCGGACGATCTCCTCCGTGAAGTGACGGCTGCGGCATCACAACTGCCAATATGGAGACAGTCACTTCGGCCCCTCATCAAAGAGGATCTCCTGAGGCATCTGAGAGAACATGGAATTCAGCGTTATTCGGAGGTTGAGTTTAAAGAAGAACGCCAGGCGGTCATGGCCGAGGTCTTCGGGACCCATTCGGACCAGTTGAAGGACCTTCAAAACTGCTTGGGCCATGTTATCGAAGAGAAAATTACCAACAGCCTGCTGATGGACGTCGGTACTGCTGACCAGGATGCTTTGGAGAGGGCCGTCGACCTGGCCGCTAACGCTGCCGTAACCCTACTGGGTCGACTACGACACATCGATGTGAGGCTATTCGTCCCTCGGTTGGTGGCAGCTAGGCCCAACGACCGCCTCCGACGGATCCTTTGGGATCGACTTCTATTGAAAAGCGATAGTCACAGGCCGGACCATGCAAAGGAGTGTTCGTACCGACCCCGGGACCTCCCACAAGACATCCTGGGCTCTTCCGATCACCGGCTGTCGCACAGTCAGACTGCTGAGGTTGAGCGTCTGGTAGCAGCTAGTCCTGAGACTGAGCCCACCGAGTCCTCGGTCTTTACAGCGGTGGTTCTCGTACTGGTCTACGGCGTTGGTCCGGCTAACCCTAGGAGGTACGAGGGGATGTTGTCGTCAACGAAGGCCTGGGATGCAGCCGTCTCTCATTGCTCGGACCTTGATGCTGGCTCCTGGATAAGGCGGCGGTTCGTGGATGCCAGGGTGCACCAGGAGGCCACTAAGCTGATCTGGGACGAGCTCCTATTGGCAGCCTGTTGGTCCCCCGCTGCCGTGCCGGAGGTGCTCGCCATCTGCACTAGGGTTCTCCTGGAACTCATAGGAAGGTCCTCTGGTGTGGTCTCTGGTACAGTCTTCCTGGAAGCTCTGAGGTCCAGGAGGTCCGATCTGCTGGAGGTCATCTGTGGCAGAGGATCGGAGTCGATCGCTGAGGTATCCTCCTGTAGCTCATTGCCTGACCATTTGCCCCAATATGGGACCTCGTTGGACCATGGGGAAGCTCATAATGGTCACCACAATGATCCTTCGGAAGGGGTCGATGCGGCCACCCAGACCGAAGAGGACCTTTGGAATGGTCATGGTCGGCCAGGCTTGGCGGTCGAGCCGTGGTCATCGTATGTCACCGACTTGATGGCCAAAGGGGGTGGTCGAGTTGGTTTGTCCGTGGAACTGCGGGATGGGAGGAGGATTCAACTACCCATCATCAACCCCTTCGGACTAGTGGACTCGGTATCTGAGGTCCTACGCACTGTGTCACCATTCCGTGTCACCATGGCCTTCAGATAGTCGAGCACTGCCTCATTCATGGAGTTGATGGCTCCTCCTCCTCCCCGATCACTACTACTGCCCTCCGAAGAGATATTTCAAAAGCTGTGGCCACCAGGTTCAACGACGACAACGAAGTCCTTGATGATAGAGGTGTTCACGTCAGGAAGGTGACGGTGAAGCTCGGTGGGTCAGGTGTGCCCTCTTGGCCCCCTGAGGCTGTGGACTATCCCTCAGGTGCTGTCGAGCCCACTCTCTGCGTCGCTTTACCCACAGCGTCATCGGAGTCGGCCGAGCTCTTAAATGTGTGTATGCGTGCAGTTGGACGGGCCCAGCTCGACGATCAAGCTCTAGTGATGAAGGCAGTTGAATATCTCATGTCGCACCTTGCTCACGATACTGAGTAGTCGTCTCTTATCATCTGTTGTTGCGCTGAGAGTCCCGCCATCGATAGAGAGTCCCTTTTGTTGTCATGGCTTTCGCTGGGCTGCCCGGAAAGACTTTACCGTGGGCCGACTGGCGCGAGTGGCTCCGATGCTACCAAGGCCTGTCGGGCCAAAGCGTCGAGGGCAAGTTGGAAGCAGTCAAGATGGTCGACTTATGGCGGATCCGTGGTCGGGTGAGACCGTCTCTTTAGAGATGGTAGGTGTCAGAAGTCACCGCAGGTACCAATAGCGGTAGATTGTACCGGTATGGTGCTGCAAGTGATGTGCCATGACCCCTATTTCTGTCCGGAGACCACAGCACAGGTCTCCCTAGATGAGTACGCAGGTTGTCATCACAGCATACCCCCGAGGTCCCTCTGATCAGGCTCCAGCAGCTCTACAGCTTAGTCGTCATCCGCCTCTGCAATGGTGTTATTGACACCGAGCAGAAGGGGCAGGTCGCCCAGAGTCAGGTGGGTCTTCAGGATGGCGCTGTCTACGATCTAAGGCTGCCCTCGTAGGATTCCATCGCCCGTCGGATAGGATTCCCAACTTGGTTGGTCGAATTGCGCCATGAGGCGACTCACGGCAGTAGTCTGCCGACTATCCACGTATTGCGAATGGCTGCTGAGAGCATATTGAGGTGAGAGGCAGTCGATTCTGTGAAGTGCATGCTCAACCTAAAGATACCTCGATACCAACTACTGGTCACGGCAATACGCCCAGCTAGATGCCGAAGGTGTTTTCACAGCAACCGAACCCGATACCGACTATGTTGAGGCCCGATTACCTCGTGGTACTTTCGAGGGCAAATGTCTCCTCCTTCGGAAGAAGCTCGCCGCACTTGGTCACGGTGTTGGCGTCACTGAAGCAGTAAGTCTTGGTCTCCATAATTGCACCCTATAGGGCCTACCATCAGGTGAAGTTCTTCATCTACCTCCTCAACAAGGTCGCATCAAATGATGACGTCCGCGACATGTTCCTCAATGTGGCTCATAATGTGTCTCCAGCGACCGAAAAAGGTATCCACTGCTGCCCGATCCCATGACATCTCCGTAGTAGGTGCCTCAGCTGTTGATGTCTTGGCCGACTCACTGGACTTCCTCGACGTGAAGCGGCCGGGTCTGAGTCGAAGCTTAGCCCGATCCCTCCTCCGTGAAGCAGATGATGGTAGCTCTGATGGGAGACGATCCCTCCAGTGGTCTAAGGCCCTCTTCGGTAGGGCCGCCATGAGCGGAGCGAAGGATATTTACTTCCAAATGATTACCACTAAGCCTCTCCTCATCGAGTGCCTCGGTGACCAACGCCTTATTGATGCCTTCAATTCGAAGAATGTCTTAGCTGACAAGGCAATCCTAACAGACATAGAAGCCATCGCAGAGCACCTTGACCCCTCGAAGTAGCTAGCGATGTCATCAACTCCTACGGCTCTACCTGGCGTTCTTTGCTAACGTAATACTACTTATTCCAGCACACTAGAAGGTTGCGTTGATAGTTATGTGGTAATTTGCCACTCTGTTGGGAAGCCAACTTCGAGCAAATATCCCCTCCAGTTATTACGGGCTACTCCACTGACTGATCATCCATGATTGCAAGGAAGTCTCTGAGAATGACTTGTCCCACCAGGGTTAGCTCTCTTTCACTCTACCTCAATAATATAATGGCTCCTTTAGATTTCATCGCCTCTGGAACTCCCAAACGAAACAATGCAGACCACAGTGGAAAAGTAACAGTACAAAATTATATATAATCTCGCTTGGCCTTCATCCCGAGTAGGATGGGGTGGTGTTCAGTGGTGGAGGGAAGGGCCATCACAAAGGTGCTCTCAGACCGTAGAGAGGTGCACTCAGTGCTCCCTGGGGATCCAATTGACTCGGAAGGACTGCACAACAGGGACCTCACTCGAGGGGAGTGCGTTGTCGTCAGCCTGTTAGCTGTGGTGAACCTGAGGGGAATCTCAAGATTCGCAACAGTCAGCTTCCCACCTTCTGACGCCTCGCCGACGTCTCAATAAGTCCGCCCGTCTACGATCAGTGAGGCTGCAGTCAGCCCAAGCCCCGAAGACCTTCAGGGCCACGTCGAGGTCCCGTTGGACTCGCAACGTACGGAAAGTCCCCCGCCGTCGATGGACAAGCTCTGTGAGCTCCGCCCACGAGCGGAAGTGGGCGGCCAATTTGCTCGAGTTTTCGCGGATTTCACGTCGCTCGTCAAACGCTATCCTGAGGACCCTGCCGATCTGCTCGGTCTCTCTAACGTGGACACGCCAGCCGGCCAGGGCGAATTTGGCCAGGGTCGAGCTGCGCTGTACGACTGCCAATCGAGACCGCTCACGACTACGACGGCGTCTCGCTACCCCCAGTCGCCAACGTCTCAGCCAACGGCCCACCACGAGTCTGGACCCGGCCTCGAGGCTCTCGCGGCTGAGGGCGGCCCAGTGGAGACAATGGAGACGCAGGGAAGAGGAGCGGCGGTGATGGCGGAAATTCTTCGCCGCATGGCGCATGCAGGAATGGTTCAAAGCCATGACCAACCACTTGCGTAGGGCTGCTCTGAAGACCTGACCACACACTAGACCAGCTAGACCCTCTATAAGGGCCCACCTTGATCTTGGACGCTCGGTGGTACTTGGTTGCTTGGAGGCTTCTCGCCAAAGCCGATCGCCAAGCTTGGATGCTCCTCGCAGCCACGCGAATCTCCACCGCCGATCGAGCAATCCAGAACAACTCGGAAGTGATATACCTGAGGGCACAGCTGTCGACCTCTCCCAAATAGACGCTAACCTTAGATTGATACGAGCCTTCCACCACCGCAGGGCTCTTCGGCCCAGAGCCTGTCCATGGCACACAGCCATCTCCTCTGCACACCTCCTTCTGGCCTCCACCTCCTCCACTCGCGACAGAACCCCATCACAATAAGCCATCCAGGCCCGCCGTAGAAGCTGCCGTCGGTGCATGCCCTCAGCCAAACGCCCATGCCGTCGGATACGCCCAACCCACACCTCCAGCCAGATTTTCGTAGCCTCGCCCACGCGGGCCCGATCGAACTTCACTGCCCTACCGAGGGAGGCCCATTGGCCCACGACCGACCTCAACTGCTTCACCTCCCTCCTTCTACCAGCAACTCTGCCCAAAAGCCGTATGACGGCCCAGGACCACCACGAAATCAACGCTCGTTTCGCCAGTGCTGCGCTGCGCCTGGCAATGAGGCCTCCACACAGTCGCAGTGCCCTCATTTCGCTGACCCGGGCCCTCCAGCTGGCCAGGGTCCGCCTGAACCTCCGTCTTTCTCTACTCTGGAGGACCCTAGAGATGACCACCTGCCTCCGCCACAGCATCCACATCAAACGCCTGGTCCGCCTCTCCTCGCCAGTCCTCCGTATCAGCAATTTCCACCGCACAAATGTCCTCGCCTTAGCAGTGACACGTTCATGCTTCAACTCAGCCACATGGAGCCGCCATAGACGCACAGAGTTGGTCAGTAGCTGCCCCTCACGGAAGCACCTCACGCGGAGACGCTCTCGAGCTGTGACCCTCTTGAATTCTCTCAGGCATCGCAATAAAAGATGTCCACGTCGCTGTCGATTCGCCGCTTTTACTTTCATCTCCATCACCTCGGCCGCCTTAGCCCTCCAGCCCAGCAGTGACCCCTGAAGACTCCGCCGCTGCCAGCGAACTTTCCCAAAGCGCTCTACCGCCGAAGTGAGGGCCGCCAGACGTCTCCAAGAGGCGAAGAACATAGGCACCGACACCAGCTTCCATCGAAATGCACCACGCCAGGCCATCCACGCTTCAATGGTGGCTAGCAGGACTCTCCTATCATACCATCGTTCGAGTCGATGAAGGCCCAAAGAGCGTCGCTTCCAAGCAAGGAAGCTCCTACTGAGTTGCCTGAGCCGCGCCTGGTCGAACACCGTCGCCATGATGTACCACTTGCACAGTACACCGGCCATCACCCTAAGGCAGACCTTGGTCCTCATCCGAGCCCACAGGAAGGCCTCTTCCCGTCTCGCAGTCACCACGCAGGACCACACATCCACCACTCTCATCAGCAGACTCCTATAGTAGCGACCAACACTACTTCGGACCAGACCGCGAAGGCGCCGACGCGTAGCAGCGTAGTGACGTAGTCGTCTCAGCGCAGGCTGGAGGGACCACAAAAGATCGTCTATCCTCTCCACCCGTTGGTGAAGCTTCTCCGTATCGTCCCTCAGGTCACTCGAAGTTACCCCCGACTCAGCAGTGGGGCCAGGGAGGTAGTCCTCCAGGGTCGGCGCTAGTGCTGCGAAGGCCCCTCGCAGCCGTACGTCGACAATGCTCTTTATGACCCTCGGTAGCCGTAGAAGGCGAGCTGGCGGCCGACACAGGTCCACACGGCGACCACGAGAAGGGTCCATCCTCCTTTGACACTACACAACCCCAGTCTAATTGACAACTCCACAGCCCATACGAGGTCCCTAGGACAACACCAGTAGCTTCACGTTCCTTTCCGGAGCTCTATCGTTGCATGGTAAGTTGCCAAGGCCTGGGACTGTTCCGGGGACAGCTTACCACTCGCCGGGAGCATCCTACTCCCCTGACCTGGCAACGTGGGATGCAGTGTGAGGGGGGGGGGGGGGATATGCACATAGTCAACCACATATGTTGGTGATAATATGAAAATTCTGAGGAAATTTGGGGAGATTATTGTCGACTCCCTTACATTTCCACCCGGATGTGCTCATGAACTTTTATAACTAGTGAGGAAAGCGAGCATATATTCCAACACAGTTTAACAGTACCGAGGGCGAGCTTCCTCAATTCCTCCTTCTTCCTAGTTTCGTTGGCAAGGACCGAATCCTTCAGTCCAGTCTCCTCGAGGACCTACCAGGCCGACCCCAGCGGTCTGGGCATAGGCCAAGGCACCACCCACTAGGTCCCAATCATCCGATAGTCTGTCCTGTTGTGGTCTATGGAGGGACTCGCCGGTCTCGAAGTTGTAGAAGTATTTGGCGCCTAGTAGGACCATCCCCAAGGGCCACCCATGGTGACCCTTCTACCCCTATTATCGTAAAAGGCATGCCACTTGACCCCGAGTAGTGTATGGGCAGGCGGCGACCTCGATAAGGACTCCAGCAGCTGCCCTCGAGGGTCCACCTCTCCCTTCGCCAGGACTCTGCCCCCCGGGCCCGTTCCTGAATCCTGTAGTTTCACATAGTAGGGCTGTGGTCCGGTCCGACCGTGGGACGGGTCGTCTCTGGTCAACTGCGGCTGTATGCCGACCGTCCGCCTCCTCGGGAGCTCGCCGTGGTAGTCTCGTGTGTAGTCTATCTTCACTGGCTTCAAGTCCAGGAACCTGACCTATTCCGTATCTTCCACGAGGCAACCTAAGATTCACCTCGGCAGCGTCTTCACGTGCTTACTAGCGTAACAGTCGAGGCAATAGGAACCAAACGTGTACGTGCACTGCAGCTTAGCCGGTAGCGTTTCACAGAGACAACACGGGATGAGGCGATTCGGGACATGCAACTTCCTATTACCCTAGGGAGGACCATGACCCCACCCTCCCTCTGGTCCCTCGACCCACCTTTGAATGTAGTCTATCGAAGCACCCCTGACAGAAGCAGTCTCGACACCTCGGGCAGAAGCAGGCGGCCACCACCCCACACTCCGCGCAGTACACTTGTCCTGATCGTCACCACTACAGAGGAGAGACCACACCAGTAGCCTACCAGCCTCCTGAGGGGCTACACCTCCAGCCGCGTCCCCTCGGGCCATCTGGGCCCAAGAGTACCTGTCCACGTCCGACATGGCCCGGCCCACTACTCTGCAATGGTGACCTGGCCCGCTCGGCATCGATGGCCTTCAGGCACGACTTGACCTCCTGCGCTTCCAACTCGGGCTCGAGTCGATGCTGCACCGAGAGGACCCTCAAGAGACTCTTCAGAGTGCGTACCTGACCAGCAGCCGGATGGTCCAAAGTCCCAGGGACCGACCGGACCAGGTAGGGCTCGATGACCACGTCCACCTTGAGGATCTCCGCGACCTCCCGGACGTACCGAGGGGATACCAGAGGCTCTTGGTCGAGGACGTTGGCGTTGCCCTCGGTCTCATAGGACTGGCAGGACCACTGCCCACCCCTTTTAAAAATACCCGTACCATGAGCATTCGATCGATCCTCAGTTTCATATGCTCCTCCCTAGTGAGGTGACGGCACTGGTCCAGGAGGTCGGCGAAGTGGTCGTAGCAGGGGTGTTTCCATGTCGCCTCTGAGGTCTCCTCATTCACATACCGTACCATGCCCCTGATGGTGGGCATCCCTCTAACACCGACCACAGACGTCCATGGGGGCGGCAGCTCCTCCTTAGCAAAGGCCTCGACTACCCAAGTGTACTCCTTATCAATTTGAGGGTCGGCCTAAGGGACCAACCTAGGGCCACTGGAGAGGTCGCTATGGACCGACCTGGAGATAGCTGAACCACTCCATGAGAGTCGAGGCCGAGCCAGCACAGCGCAACATCGGTCCGACACCCTCATCGCTGGCCCTCTGGACCACCTCCTGTGTTGCCCGATCCGCTACCCCAAAGAGGAACAAAGGGTCGCAGTCTAGAAACTGTAGGCCGGCCTAAAGGGAAGGACCAGACCGGGGAGGATGGGAAGCTGACGGGCCACCTCGCCCATTGAGTGAGTGTCCTCGAGGGCCACCAACACCTCCGTCCACAGAATGTCAGCATCACAGGTCCACCCCGACAGGACCTTATCTGGACCTCCCAGACAAACCTGACGACCATCGAGACCCTTCCCGAGCCCTCACTACTCATGGTCCTACTCGGTACTCGGGGCCCTGTGGACCCTCTCGGGTGGTCAAGAAGATGTCCCTACTTTGGACATCCGAGTCGACCTCGACTGCATCCCTCACCTAAGCCCATCCATTTAGACCCAACTCGAAGATTCGCGCACTTAGAATAATAGTACATTTACTCAACCTTTTTCCAACACATTCCACCGAGCAATACGATCCCCAGCGTTCCTCCAACTCTACCAAGAACCCTACCCTCACGCTGGCCTCATAGCCTGCCGGTACCACGCCCACCTCCAGCTCATCAGGAGCCCCCTCAGGATGATCAGGAGCGTACCAGAAACAATAGGCTCCAGGGACCTAGAGAGCCCTGCACCACCACGGTCCATCCTCGACACCAACCTCCCCATTGACCATCACCATGTAACCAAACGAGACTATCTCATGTACTCTCTCCTGCCTTTTGGACCGCACAACAGGGAGGTCATCTTCTGCGTGCTGACCACCACCAGCGCCCTCAACATGCATGAAAAAGAGAACTACTAAGACTACCGTGGAGACGAGGGAAGCAACACCAGTTCATTCCAAAGAAATCAGCATTAGAAGTTTGCATGCAAACCATGGGGGTAAAGACACACTTCATACTCCTACGTTAGGCCGACCACAAGCCCATCATCACCACCGCCGTCGCCTGGGCTGCTGGGGGGACCGTCCACCCTCCGAGAGGACAGAGACTGGGGCCTCGTAACAGGACCTAGGAGAGTCGTCGTCAGCCCTACTGGGCGTCGGACACTCCAGCTTCCTCCGGGCCAGACCACCCAGCCGGAGTGGTGATGCCAGGATACCACCAGCGTTGGCAGGAGACGCCCTGTGGGGGATCGGATGCACGTTAGGCCCGCGGTTCTCCATCTCGACTGACCGAGAGACTCCTTGAGGCCCTCGTCGACCAACAGGAGGACCCCAAGCGGGGGGAGGTGGTCCGCATGGTCCTTTCTGTAGGGGAGAACAGTCTCCTGGTGGGCCAGATGGGTTGGGTCTCGGGGACACTAGTACCCCTTGGACCACGAAAGGGTAGTGGCTCGGCCCTTGATACTCCCCACCGCGACCGACCATATTCGGCCTGCTACCATGGACCACTGGAGACCCCCTCCCTGGGACTGCCTGGCGTGGCGACATTGAAGTGCCGACTCTCCTCCTCTTGTCCACCTCCCTCTTAGGAGGACTCAGAGGCCCTACGCCTCTTTGATGAGGTCTTGGTCCCGGGTGACCTCTCGGGGAATCATCTGGACCACGTTGGGCCACGACTGGCGATCGCGGTTGGTGGTCTCTCCTTTGAGGTCCCTCCCTTCCCGATGGGCCCCTACCAGCCAACACTGGCTCTGCGTACCTCGGCACTGGTGACACATGCACTCCCCTGTGGTGACACGCTGGACTGTAGCGTCGCGGATGATGACCAACAGAAGGAGACAGGTTCCGCTTGGGCACCCTAGGAGAGACCGCCTTCCCACACCACCGAGGGCTATCATCCTGACAGTAGAACCATCCAAGATCCTCCTCCCTGACCCTACCACTCACCATAGGGTCTCCCTCTTCCTCCAACATCTGCCTTATCTCAGCCTGGACTATGCCCCGGCCGACTATCTCAGCCGCAGTCGGCCTCTTAGTCCACTCCCTCGTCAAACAGTCCCTCAGCAAGGCCCTCAACTCTGGTGAAAAATGCGGCGGCAACTCCGGCGTCGGCCCTTTGGTAATCTTGTCCACCAACGACTTTATATTAGAAGCATCAAAGGGCACTTTAAGACAACACATCTCATACAGAATGCACCCCAACGCCCAAATGTCCGAGGCCCAGTTATACGGCCTTTCCTCACAGATCTCAGGGCTGAGGTAATAGGGCGTCCCGATAGTAGTCTCTGCGAAGGCCAAGGTGGAGTCAAGTACCTAGCGAGCAGCTCCTTGAGTACAGCTTGGCCCTGTACAGCAGAGACAACGCATGGACTAGCACCCTCGTAGGTGATAACTATCACTTCTTCCCCTCACATGGACTACCTGCCCTCATCCCAAAATCGAGGGCTCGAGGACCACGGATTCATCCTAGTGGTAGTGTTACCACCAGTGGGGGGGGGGGGGGAATATGCACATGGTCAACTACATGTGTTGGTGAAAATATGAAAATTCTGAGAGGAAATTATTTTTGGTCTTTGTAAACTTCTACTCCCGTGTGCAAGTTTTCATAATGCAGCTATGACAACTCCTAAGCTCAGCTGAGGAAAGCAAACATATATTACAACACTAGTTCCCACCTACCTTAGAAATTCCGAAGTCGCCCAGTCGGAGCCTGTTGGTCCTGGTCAAGAAGAGGTTCTGGGCCTTTAAGTCTCTATGCAGTACATGCTTCTCATGCAAGTACCTCACCAACGTAACCATACCACACCTCGAGCACATCTCACTGTCACTTCAGAGCAAGTGCAGCTTGACTCAGCCATCTGACGATCTGTGCCTCTGGGAATCCAACACCAGCATCGCGCGCCTTGCGAATTCTATCAGCGAGGTCCCCTTAAAAAGGGCTCATAAAAACAACAGGAACGTACAAGGGCCGACCCACCCCCCTCAGCGTAGTCCATAATGATGCACAGCCCACTGGCCTCCTCGAAAAAGGAGTCCCTATAGCACACCACATACGGATGCTTCAATGACGACAACACCTATCAACACGCCACAGCTTGTCAAATATCAATCAAATCGAAGCATTAGCGCTCGCCCGACCAGCATACCTTGACCTCATTCCTAGCTTCATTTCTCTGTTTCTTATCCATCCTTTTCACATCGATCGTCTTCATGATGTATTCCCGTCCATCTCTTCCTCGAACCAACCATGCCTTCCCAAAGGACCCTTCGCCCACCTTCCTGATCCGGGAGTACCCTCGAGAGGCCATTAATGATAACCTACAGAGACTCCCTGCGATTAACAAACACGAGTCAACATAGTTCCCACGAGAAATATCATGTTGCTATTCATGGTCCGCAGAGGTTTGTCGATAACCAGTTTTCTCATAATGACCGTGTAGGACCTTCCGACGAATCTTCTCGAGCCGGACCACGGCTTCGTCCACAACATCACCAACCATCCCAATGTCCCTAAAGGCTCTCATCTTACCCCAAGCACCTCCTCAACACCAACCTTAGTGATCGGTCCACCTGCTGCATAAAACAGTCAAAGTGGTAGTCCGTTATAGCCAATACCGAATGCAGAGTCTCAAGGTCTCGACCCTTGTACACGACCGGCCCTACCAATACTATCAGCATACCCAGCATCAAGCCTAGCACCTCCAAGGACCATCGTAATGTAGGCCGACTGGGCTTTTTTAATACTGCTTAGTTTCGAGCCCTCGAAGTAGGGGTTGATCCTTCTATCTCTCTCTATGCACTCATACCTACACACACGTCACCTAATTCCAGATCATGTCACTAAATTCCGTTCCTCTGTAACTATAATTCACTCGTGATTATCCTAGAACCGCCCAAAAGCCATCTTCCTAGTACAGCCTAACGATGAAGCATTCAATGCCCTCCTGTCCGCCCAGCTTCTCAATGAGCCCTTCCCCTTGCCCTCGCTGGCCCCTTGCTAGTTCCATTCGGACCATACACCCAGTCGTGATGTCCGATCTCGTCCTGTTCACCACCTGCCCAGGACCGAGGAGAATGCGAGCAGTAGGAATATATGTTCGCCTTCCTCAGCTGAGCGCAAGAGTTTCCTCACTGCCTATAGAAGTTTACACGCGCCTCGGCCAATACGAGTTTCCTACGATGCGCATATTTTCCAACACTAAATGTGAGTGAGCGAGGCCCCATAGGGCCAACACCAAGTACCAGAAACACATCATCGAGAGTCTCGCTGTCCACGCCGATTTCCTTAGCGGCTTCCATCAGGCTGTCACACAGAGCATCAAAATGATAGTTTGTGATGTTCATAAAGTAATGAGCTGGCTTCAACAGTTCTCTATCGTATTGTACCGCCCCGCCAAAGGCACCACTCAAGTATTGGTACCTAGGACCACAGTCCCCCTTACCAACACCATCCAGAAGCCTACATCTTCATCCTAATATGTTTCTGCTTAGCCGGGCCCTTCTCCAGGAAATACCTCACTCTCGAGTCAGCCTTAGCCCGGTCGTACCTAGTGGGCCGGCAGAGGCTGTCAACCCCAGGGCCCAGCAGGCCCACATGTTCTCGACCAGAGCTTCCAAGGACAGGTCCCCTCCAAGACGGTCCACTAGACTCTTATCGTCTTTGCTATGGTGGCCTAAAGGGACCCTCACGTCCCCTCAAAAATCTTCGCTGTGCGCGACAGCCCACTGTGATGATTCTCATCTTGCCTCATGCCAAGGATACTCTCTCTGATGCTTTCTATCGATACATCAACTTCATCCACGAGGGCCGAGGGCAGACCTAAGATACGTCCGACCTAGCCAGGGGCCAAGTGCTCACGGGCCACCTCTTTGGACCATCGCTTCGTGGAAATTATGTATGAAAGCGTCCAAATGATAATCATTGATACCTGCACGCAGTTCTTAGCGGAGCGAAGCGAGAAATCTTTCGCATTTTGCTCACCTAAATGCTCGTGGACTTCGAACAGACCCTTTCCCTCATATGTTTGTGGACCTCCCAAGAGGCCCACCAAGTACTTCCCAATGTTCTCTCGGACCATTTGAATGTGTGGTATTCGGAAGAACGTCTTTATACGAGGGTCGACCAAGGATAGGTCCATCACTGCTTCGAAGAGCTTCTTGATCCCATCAGCTTCACCCAACCTACCAGGCACGGTTGGGGGATATCAAGGTGCTATTTCGAGAAAATCGGTCCCTCGAAAACCCCATACAGGACGTTGTGTATCTTACAACCACAACAGGTGTTGTGTATCTTACGGCGCAGACCTGTTCTGTATCTTGCTGCGCAGACATGTTGTGTGTTGTGTATCTTGCTGCGCAGACATGTTGTGTATCTTGCTGCGCGGACCTGTTCTGTATCTTGCTGCGCAGACATGTTCTGTATCTTGCTGCGCAGACCTGTTGTGTATCATGCTGCGCAGACCTGTCGTGTATCTTACTGCGCAGACCTGTTGTGTATCTTGCTACGCAGACCTGTTCTGTATCTTGCTGCGCAGACCTGTTGTGTATCTTGCTGCGCAGACCTGTTCTGTATCTTGCTGCGCAGACCTGTTCTGTATCTTGCTGCGCAGACCTGTTGTATATCTTGCTGCGCAGACCTGTTGTGCATCTTGCTGCGCAGACATGTTGTGTATCTTGCTGCGCAGACCTGTTGTGTATCTTGCTACGCAGACCTGTTGCGTATCTTGCTGTGCAGACCTGTTCTCTATCTTGCTGCGCAGACCTGTTGCGTATCTTGCTGTGCAGACCTGTTCTCTATCTTGCTGCGCAGACATGTTGTGTATCTTGCTGCGCAGACCTGTTGTGTATCTTGCTGCGCAGACCTGTTGTGCATCTTGCTGCGCAGACCTGTTGTGTATCTTGCTGTGCAGACCTATTCTCTATCTTGCTGCGCAGACATGTTGTGTATTTTGCTGCAACAATTGTCATGAACCAAAAGATCAGACCTCACTCAAAGTCTTCACAAACCTCTTCTATTTCCGATGTGATAACAACAACGATAATTCTCGCTCAAACCTACCAAAAAATAAAAGCCCGGATACAACCGAAGTCTAGTCTAAAATTCATCATAAACTCCTGGACGCTACTCCAGTCAAGAAGAGGAACATACGGAATCCCCCCGACGGTCACTCACCCAATATAAAGATGCTGTTTGCCGCTATTAATACGTTGCCGACCAACCTCCATCCGAACTGTGCATCCAAGTGTGATATCAGTGCGTACTGTCTGCAAGGTCTTGATGAGCTCCCTTGCCAACCCTAAGGGGCCAAGACTAGCCCTGAGCTGAGGGCCAACTGCCCTTACTCCTATCCACGCCCATCTCGGTCACCAACACACGGAGCATGACACTGAGCATCCTGTCGAAGTGGCGGTCAGCGATGTTCAAGCCGTAATGCGCGGGCCTCAACTCCTTCACTTCGTAATTGTTTGGCCCTCCTGACACCATCAAAAATTCCGTCACGCGCCACAAAATTCGCCCTGCCTGTCAAGGAGCAGATGTATAGCGACATTCTCTCCTTGATACTCCTAATCTTGGCCTTGCCCTTTTCCAAGAAGCTCCTAAGGCTGGGCTCCTCCAGTGCCCTGTCATACGCCTTATTGACGAACTCAGCGATCGTCTGTTCTCCCCCAAGACGGTCAAACCTGACATGGATCTTCCTCACGTGGCCACCCAAAGGCTCTTCCCTACAGGGACTTCCTCCGGGATGCTTCCTGAGTCGCCCGAACATCGTGTTTCCGCGACTCTAGATTTACTACATTACTCCTCTCCGTCTCCAGCAATACCACACCTGGCTCAAATTCATATGCATTGCAAACTACTCCTTGTAGATTCTCTCTGTGTGAACAATCTCTGTCTTCCTTATCAGACTCTTACGAACAGGTCCCATACCACACCTTACACTCATCAGTCGTCTCCGCATCCAGTCCTCGCTTCAAAAGAGCTTTCCGACACAGCTCCAAGAAAGCATCAAAATGATAATCATGAACTTGAAGGGTCGCATGGATCCGCGGTAGTGGTCGACCAACGTACTCAACCGGAGACCCAAACAACTGCGCGATGTACTCCCCTACAAACACACATAGACTATCACAGCTTAACCCTCCCTCTCCCACCTTGGACCGCTTTAATAGAGTCAACCTTACTGCCAGAGAAGAACAATTTCACCCGGGAGTCTTCCTGAATCAGCTCGTAAAGATCGTCAATGAACGCTCGAACTCCCTTGTCACCACCAAGTTGCCCAAACAGACCATCCGTACCTGCGACGACCACCAACGACCAAGGCCACCTCACCGGCCATTCTACCAGCGCTCTCGACCTTCTGTGATGCGAGCTCATACCGGACAGTACACCCCTTAGTGATGTCAGACCGAGTCCTGCCCGCCACCTCAATGAGATCCTTAGTCGCCTCCTCGTCCAGCTCTAGGACAGCACAGGCCGCCTACATCAACAAAAGGATGCCTCATGCTTCGATCATCCATGTAGGAAAACCGCCAATACGACCAAAAGATACTTTCCAACACGCACGCTATAGATTTTCATCTAAGTGTATTCCACCTAGGCAAACTCAGCGACTACAATAGAGTTTCACCCGTTCACTCTGTGGAGAACGGGATATTCACGATATGCAGTAGCCGCGAAATATATTTTCCACTAGTGTTTTCCCTATCACGGGTGAAACTCCACTATATGAACGAAAATTCAGCCCGACAGTCAAACACATAAGATTCATTTCATGTCCCATACGATACCGTTCACCTGTAAGTTCTCCAAAAAAGCATCAAAGTGGAAATCTGTGATGTTCATATCAAAATGAAACGGCTGAAGTCTTTCCAGGTCGTATCTTTTAGTCCCACCGCTCAGCCCGATCAACACTTGTGCCTGAGGAACCAACGAAATTGGAAAATCTAAAATTGCATAATTTCTCACAATTTTTATTTTCTGATTTTCCTGCCTCGCCTGGTCAATCACAAAGAAGTACTTAATCCTCGGATCTTGTCGACATCCCAAATGCCTAAATCGATCAAAGATACTCATGTGCATGCGTGCACCAAAGGCCGATACATAGTCTCCACCACCGCCTCCAGATTGATCTCTCCACCCAACCTATCCAACACCGTCTTCCCTTTGACGACCTTCTGTTCCGCGTCAATCCCCCTCGCCCGGTTCAACACTGATGCCCTCAGGGGCTCCAGCATGAACAACACCTAACACGATCAGTGAGCCTCCGAGCCCTACCACGCACCCAATCACAGACCTCGTCAACGATAGAGTCATCATAGCCCAGGCCCGAGAGGGTCTTCTCACAGTCCATCAGGAAACAGTCGAAAATGAAATCATCGATTCCCAAGTCCTTATGAATGCTAACCATGTCCCTTCCTGAGATGCCGTCAGTGCTAGTCGACTTCAAAAACTCATCACCATTATATGCCTCCGCTCCGCCAAACAGCTCGGTGAAGTATGCGGTCTGCCCAGCCTTAACCCTGATACGCCAACTATGGGACGGTCAGCTCATACCACTCCTTTCTCACTTCTCGATGCTCTTGTCCTTGAAGAACGTCTTCAGTCTGTTATCGATTTGTATTGTCTCATAGAGGCGATCCATAAACTCCGAAATGCCTTCTTTCCCTAAAACCAATTTGATACCACCAAAATGGACAACCACACACTACCCTTCAGTTGCCCATACATAAAATCAGCCCCTCCTCCCTTGACCCTCGCTCTGGCCCTCTCCATCCTTACAGTGCACCCAGCTGTGATGTCTCTCCGAACCTACCAACGACTACAACTAATCTCAGGGAATATGCATATGGTCAACACAATAAAAAAATTCTTTGTTTTTATACACACTTCTACTACCCTTAGTCGCACGTTTTCACGGTGTAGCTCGGCTGAGCGACACGAACAGAAAATTCAACACAAGTCACCAACAATGTGGGGGGAATATGCACACAGTCAACTGCAGGCGTCGGCGACAATATGAAAAAAAATCTGAGGAAACTTTGAGGAATTCTTGTTGGTTTGTGTACATACACTTGTACCCAAATCCGTATAGAAAATCCTAAGCTCGGTTGAGGAAAGCGAACATATATATTCCAGCACTAGTCGTCACCTTTCCCAGAGCAATGAGGGCATCCTCCTTAGCTGTTGGGTGCATATTCAGCGCCACAAAACTACCGTCGAAAAGCTCCAGAATCTGCAATAACAGTAGAAAGATTCGGAAAATACAAAACTATCACAGCATCGAAATGATAATCAGTGATGTTCATTTCATAATGGACAGACTTCAACGCTGTAACATCATAGGTTTGAGGGCCACCCAGGAAGCCCGAAAGGAACTGAATAACACCAGTATCATTCGAGAGAAGGAGAGGGACGAACTTGAACCATCTTTTTCTTTATTCGCGCCATCTTCTTGGGGCTCTTCTCTAGATACGCCCTGAGCGAAACAGTACTTGTGATTTCAACCAGAGCCCGTAGCTCTAGTGATCCCCCTCAGTCGATAATAAAAGTTCCAACAGGTACGTGGCGGTTGATATAAATATTCCCACCTGGTCCTAGAGTCAGTCACAGCCTTACTATACATGAGGTCAACTGCCGTCTCAATTGCCAAGTCCCCTCCTATTCTCTCATACCTAGGCAGTATGGCCAGCTATCTGCCTTGTACACGAGCAATGGGGGGGCCTCGCGAATTGCCATGTCTTCTTTTCGGTCAAGCTTATTCATTCATATGATATCAGTTTCAGATATAATCAGTGAATCATCCAAGAACCTATAATCTTCCCGGGGAGGAAACTAATTTAGAATTTTCCACATGGCTTGGAACTCATTTTTCGAATAGGAACATCTCCCCCACTGTTGTCAACCTCTGGTGAAGGCTATCCCTCAAAGCTAGAAAGGTCCCTTAATATCATCACCCTCATTTCCTAATGAGTAACTCCGAACCCTCGAATGCCCACGAGTTATCACTGGGAGCCCCAAGGGGCCACACTTGCCTACAACGATCGGGACTTATCGTCGTTTGCCATCCGCCTTCTAAACACGTTAACATTAAGGGCTCCGCTTTGGGCCCTCTCTTCTGCTGCTTGCTTCACTGAGGATTTGAACCTACCATCAGGAGGCTCACCCTGGGCGAGCAACGTGTATCACTTTTGTATATCATCCTTAGCTCTAGCTACCATGCCCTTCACAGTGGCAACTTGAATGTCTACCATGCCCCCATTGTTCTGGCCAGGAGAAGTGGCCGCTACTAGCTGCTTTATATGGGCCAGCTTACCTTAGAAAGACGTACCAGTGTCTACCTACTACTACTGCTGATAGCAGTAGTGACAGTAGTAGCCTACTCCTATCACGACTACCATTACTACTGCTCTCAAAACTACCACAACTACTACTACTACTACTACTACTACTACTACTACTACTACTACTACCACTACTACTACTACTACTACTACTACTACTACTACTACTACTACTACTACTACTACTGTAGTAATGGTCGCAGCTCCTTCCCCGTTAATTGACGACTGAGTACTAGACATAGGGTTGTAGTGGAAGTAGTAGTTAGTAGAAGATTAGTGAGTTAAGGGTGAGAGAAGTTAAAGAGACAGAGCGACACAATAGCGGAAATCGATCGTCCAATCCCTTCATGAGGGATTTCCTCATAAGGGGACAGCGATTGTGTTACTATCCACGTATCAACGTGGGGTGTCGGAGGAGATGGGACAGGCTGTCCCGGACAGTTGTGTTACCGAGCGGGAGTTTCGCTACACTACTACTACTACTACTACTACTACTACTACTACTACCTGCCACTGCTGTTATGCTAGTCTTTACATTCTGTATCTCATCTCGTGTTTTACCAACGGTGTTCACCAGCTCATCGACATCCACCCCCCTTACTGCCATGGGAGATTCAGGAAGAAGTCACGAAATGAATAAAAAATAAAGTCTTGTGTAACTTTCATATCTGGAACTTTTGGAGAGGCTTAGCGGAGCGTTGCGCCAGTGAAATCAGTGACTTACGGCATAGGTATCATGACTGAGTCATGATGGTATGTAGGGCTGACGAGCTCAATCGTCCTTCAGCATCGACCTTGGCCCACACTTCGGAAGTTACAAACAAAGTGATTGCCACACAGTCGCTCTAGTGACCGACCACACCTTTTAAACATTTAGTTCGTTTTCGGAACCATCAATTTCGTCGGGACGCGCGAAGTTGGAGGTACGAATCCGAAACGGGAAGACCATATTCATAATTAGAATTTTCAACTTCGTCATAGAACATTCAAGTTCGTCCGAAGTCGATAGAAAGTTCAAGTTCGTGTTAACAGAAATTTTAATTTCGACTTTCGAACCTTCGAATTCGTCATAGAACTTTCAATTTCGTCGAGTACACCTTCAGACCTTCAATTTCGTCCCTTTAGGAAAATCGACTTCATTGAAATCTTATTGAAGGTGAATTTCAACCTCTATTTCACCATTAAAAACTCCAATTTCCCAAACCAGCGAGCGAGCTCGTACGCCAAGATACCCCTATTGAAACTCCAATTCCGACGGTGCGCGGTTTGGGTAACTTCAATTTCGTCAACACTTCGGATTAGGGACATCAACTCCGTTGGCACGTCGATTAAGGAACTTCTATTTCGACATAATAGTAACTCGCTTTTCGCATACAGGAACATTAATTTCGGTTGAACTTACACAACTCAGAACCAATGATTTATAACCAAAACGGTAAACCAAAAATTTCAAGTCGTACGATATGACTCGTACCTAAGTTAGGTACGAGTCATACCGTACGACTTGACATTGTCAACTTGACAAGTCGTACCTAACGTGCTCCCGATCCAGTAGATCTCTGTAACTCGTCCAGTCGCTACATCATTTCCCGGACGTATCATATTCGTGAAGTTGAGCTTAACAGCTTAGCGCTGGATCCGCTTCGTTGAACGTCGATCCGTTCTGTTGCACCGGGGCCGCGCTCTGCATGGTCTCACACATTCAGCGGATAGTATAGCACTGTGCTGTTAGCACGGTATCACAACTGTGCATGTAATCTTACAGATCTTATTCCACGGAATGCCACTGGTAACCTGTATTGAATTGTTGACAAAATTGATCGGCTACTTAATTCAATAAATTTTATTGTGTGAGGTTGAAGTGAGCCCCGCCAAATGTTCCCACATAACTGGGCTAGGCGGCCAGCCATGGTTAGAACCCTAGCTACGTGAGAGCCGCACGCATGCACAGCAAGTAGCGCTCGCCTGTGACCAGCGTCACAGAATCCCATCTGTGACGCGCGGTCATTACGGTGGTCTTATGAAAGTGGAGCAATAATGACTGCTAATCCGGTGCTCGACTTTTGGAACAGTCGTCCAAAATGGAGCGGAAGCTCTTCTATTGCCTGGCTACGTAATGACCAGAAAATTAAAAAAGTAAGTCTTGTGTAACTTTTTGAAATTCCTCAATGCACCCTTTCTCGGACGAACAGTATTAATTATTAATATTATATTGGCTGAAGATAACGCGAAGAACTGGAGCTCGCGTTAATCCGAAAATAATAATCTCTCGTCCGTGGCAACCAGTTGGTAGCTCCTTGGTAGCGATAACCAACACTTAAAACTAATAATAGTCGTTAATGGATATTACGTCGGGTGCTGCCTGTTGACGGAATGACAAATACGTCTGAGTGAGAGTTGGAGTACCAATAAGCTCTGCTCAGAGTCCTCTTTCTGAGGTGTCGAGACCACTTAGTGTCCCAGCGACAAGCGACAAAGAATGCATGCTATTAAGTGTGTTATGATTGTCGGAGTCATTTCAACATCAGCCGTGTCGAGTAAGGGGCTACGTTTGCCGTGCGCGAAAAGATCTGTCTTCTGCGTGGCCGGAGAACTTCAGACTAGGAAGCTTTTATTCCTATGATGAGTCACAACATGTCGCGATTTATCTCGTTAACTCAGCGACGGTTCGCAACGACAAGCATTCGCGACGTCCGACCAGGTCAAGTGCTGAAGTTCCAGGGGAAGTTCGAGAGCTCCCCTGTCCAGTATTGGCGAGTTAATGAGTTGAATATTGTAAAGCAAAGTGGTGTTGCTAGCACCATTGCGGTAAGGGATCCTCGTTATCAATTCTAATAGCCTCTGTGAAGTTGACTGTTCATTCCTATAGAGCTCATAGTGGTATCCTCTTGATATGCACCATTTCCCTCCAGAGTGGTATGGCATACGCATCAGACGTGCATCTTACCTCATTCGTGTCTGTCTGCTCGGGGGGGGGGGGGGTGACGGTAGAATTCAAATTGGTCGCTGAAGATACTATCAAGCAGTGTGAGTGAGTTGACCCTTTTACTATCAGATAACATACCTGAATTTATCCACGATGAAGAATGGCCGGTGGAAGGCTCAAATGAAAGAAAAAGTAGACGGTAGGCTTAACTGTCGCTACCATTTGAAGGAAACAACTTCGAACATTGTCTTTAGTTGTCGAGTTGGACACTAAAAGTTGCCAAGTGCTTTACTACGATGAGGATGCCAGAATGCTGATTGTCAACGATGACGAGTTTAACCAGATAGAAGTCCCCCTTAGGCTCATCAAAGGCGCCGAAAAGCTCCTCCAAGGTGTGTGAAACAGTGAAGCACTGCTATTTATTCTGTAACCTTTTGGATTTCAGCTGGCGATGTTATTGGTGTTGGCATGGATGGAGACCACATAGTGCAGATCAGTCTCCCGAGTGCAGTCCTCGACAAGATACGCTCCATCGGCATCAGTGATACTAATGCTGATGAATGATGACGTACCGCATGCTATTAGTGACCATTTCTTGTTTCTGTGACGCTCTGTCTCCGAGCTACCAATCATTCGATGTTAAAGATAAGTTGTACTGGGGCTTTGGATTCTGAGGGGAGTACACTGGGAGAAACCCATAGACGCCGAGGTTGACTGAGAAATGCATGAATGTGACGGCCGCCAGAATGGGAATTAGCAGTATGCGAAAGTCTACTCACCCTCCCATAAATTGGTGTGGTTCACCTTTCTGACAAGGTGCCGCGGTATCGTTGCGGGAGTCACAAGTCCAGAAACTCCCCACCCTTTGGAGCTGGTCACACAAGGCGCGCGCAGCTCCATGCACGTATGCATATCATCGTGGAATTAGCTAGTCGAGATGTCACTACCACTACGCAGCGGTAGGTAGTCGTCGTAGGAGGAGTTGGATTGAGCTCATCCACTTAAGGCAGAACCAAGAAGGTGCGGACACACGGAAATAATTCCTCAATTGATAACTACAAGGGGACAATTATACTATAGAGCATTGAGCGAACTCCACAACTCATACCCTTCTGTGTTGCTCCTTAGTTATCTCATCGGAAATGCGATGCCTGGAGAAAGGAACTGCGGCAATAACTCATACGAAGCCTGTTGGGAGAATAGTTAATGCTCCATTTAACGACGGGTGGTTTATTTTTTGTCGGCATTTCTCATCCTTCCATGGGGACAGCATATTGTGTGTAGCTGTTGGCTCGCTAGCCACCCGCCGCATTGCTGAGTAGAGGATCTCAAGGCTACATAGCGTCGCTGTAAAACAGCTTCTTGCGATTTGACGCCGCCATAGCTTCGTTTTTAATGAGGACTCGGGGTGATTGCTGTGATGCTGACATGGTCTGATACAGAATGTGTTTTGGATTGGATTGATTCTTGTATTCATAGTTCCTTGTTAGTCATAATGCCAGGGAGCAAATTGTTCATGTTCAACATCGCAGCAGTTGCTGCTGCTGCTCCTTTCCTCGCCAAGCAGCAGTCTGAGGGTGGCAAAGTTTCTATTACCATCGCTACCACGAACGATGTATATTCAATGTATGCTCGACCCATGTCGGGTAATGGCTATTACTTCCAGGGTACTCCTTCGGAACAGTTCTATTCGATCTGTGAGAAGGATGCTGATACTTGTTACGGCACGGCTGGCGCGATGGATATGCCCGAGGCTTCTGTAGATAAACTTTATAATATTGATCTATCGGCCACCGGTGGTAAGGTGATGACCAAGGAGGACAGTGGTTGTGTGGATCCTTCCAAGTTTGACGACATGGTTCGTGATCCTGCATCAGCATGGGGTAACACAGCTCAAATGGCAGGCACCTACAAGTACCTTGGCCTGACTGCCGATACCGACGAGTATATCAGCATGCTCCCCGGTGATTTCGTGGCTATGTCTTACCTCTCCTCCATCACTTATGGTCAGCACATGGTTGATATGATGAACGCTGGTGAGGTGGACTTGGTAGCCTTTGGTGACCATGAATTCCAGTTCAAGAACAAGTGCCCTCCTGCCGACTTGGCTGATCATCCGGAGTACAACGATGTCTGCCTGTCCTGGAATATGGCCACTGGTAACTTCCTCTACCTAGGAAGTAACGTCTTCGAGGATGCCGAAAAGACTAGACTATACGGGTCGACTCTCGAGGTTGCTGATGAGATCTCCTTCGTCAATGCCACCGTACCAAAGAACAAGAAGGTTTTCGATGAGGAGACTAGTTACTACGCTCCCTCTGGGAACTACTGGTTCAAGATGGTCAAGGACAAGAAGGTTTGCTTTACTGGTACCACTGAAGCTTCTGCTGATGAACCTATCATTGGCAGTACCAATGTATGGTTATCGGATGAGTACGAGGCTGGGGTTAATGCCACGCGCGAGATGAACGAGGATGGTTGCAACTTGGTTATTGTCCTAACTCATCAGCGTGAGGGTTATGATGTCCTCTTCTGGAGGAAGGCTGTTGTTGAGGAAGGTATCAAGATTGATGCTATCATTGGTGGTCATGATCACTTCCCTGCTTTCTTGAATCTCCAACATCCCACTAAGCCTGATATTATCACTCCTGTGTGGAAGATGGGTATGGATGGTCAAATGCTCGGCAAGTTCGTATTTGACTTTGACGAACAGCATCCCGACGGAAAACTTCGCTACGCCCATGCTATTCCAGTGTTTGATGAACAGTGTGATCAGCACTTCATCGGTACGGACAATGAGGAGTGGTGGAACAACAATGTGATGCAGACCTGGACACACTGGGTGCAGCCTATCAAGCCTCTCCAGGATACCAATATGACCAACTTGCTCTTCGCTGGCTTCTATGACACTGCGGATATTCGTTCTGCCGAGTCGCGTGTCGGTAACATGCTGGCTGATCTGTTCCTTCGCAATCTGTCGGCGCACTTCGCAGCTCTTGATGGTGGCAATATTCGTTATGGTTTGAGTCAGAACTTCACGGAGCGCATTCCCCTCACCGAGCTGGACTTGTACGAGGAGACTCCTTTCTTGGATGGTATGGTGTCTTATGACATGTCCTTGATGGAGGTCTTCGGGTATATGATCTATTCGGCCCCGATCGCCATGGGTGGTCCCAATGCTCCCCGTCCGGTCACCTCTGGTTTCGAGATCGAGATGGATCCCACTACTACTGAGCACGGTGGTGTGAAGTTCATCCGCTTCACTGGTACAAGTCATATGGCTGGTATCGTCAACCGCACTCAGACTGAGTGTGGTCACCCAACTTTGAAGTGTGGTGAGATCATTTGGAATGCTGAGGAGGGTTGGAAGGTCGACCCGTTCACTATGGTCATCGTCACTGCTCCTGACTATAACGCCAGGTACTCTCCCGACGACTCTCCTACCCTGCGCAGGTCTTACTATCTGACTCAGATGTCGGATCTTTGCAGGCGCGGCGCTGAGAGCTATGCCATCGACTTAATGGAGAGTCGACATCCTTCGCTTGCCCTCCTGGTCCTGACTTCTTCGAGTACTTGAATGAAAAGTTGCCCTGGACTGATTGTGGTTATGTCAATGGTGGCTCCACCACTACTCCCAGTCCGGTCAGCACGACCACGTCAGCGCCCACTTCCACTACCACAACAGGATCTTCTCGTCCTCATTACACGGAAGATTCCATCAAGGCTGCCGATGAGTTTTGTGGTAGCAAGGCCGCTGGCTCTTACTGCATGTATTGGCAAACAACTGCGGGTCAAGTGTGCCATGGCACAGAAGTGTCCTGCAGTAGTTTGCTGGTTGAGGGACGGAGGTTGGCTGTTGCCGATGCCGACTCCCAGACTTGCTGGGCGCGTCTGGACTCTACGATTCCTGAGAGGTCTGTTCATGTTTGGACTGACGAAGCTGTCACTCCTGAGGGTGTTAAGGTCATCGATACTACAACTCCGATGGCTGATGGTTCGGCTGCTGCTGCCATGCTCCTCTCTGGACCTTGGTATGTTGGTGGTGAGCATCCTGAGGATCTGGAAGCATATGGTATCAGTGATCCTGATGTTGAGTCCATGGAGATGGCAAATCTTCCAGTTCGTCGTTGGTTGGAGAGCACTCCCGCTGCTTCAACGGATTCGTTCGTCCTGGCGTCTTTCGCCGGTGAGGCCCCGAAGAAGACTGTTGGTCAGTTCTACGGTGCTAAGGTTAACCCTCGTACCATCTTGGCTTTGCACCAGTAGGCTGCTTCCCTGTGGTATGAATCTGTACAGTGCAACGTAGTGCCATGATGGCTCAACTACGATTTTCTTAATAACAGGAATAGGTGGTGATTCATCGTATGTTCATATTTCGCTCTTTTAGTAGCACTAGTAGATGATCCGCCTTATGTTCATATTTCTAAGATGTTCCTATCCAAATCCTGTTCATGTGCTATACGCTATCTTGACTCGATTATTCGATACGTGTTGTATCAACTCGCTTCGATATCCAGTTTCGAGTGTGTTGAGTTGTTTGCAGTGGTTATATTGGGATGAAGTAGTGAACTAAGCATTGAGACTCTGTTCACTCGTGTGGTGATCTACGGTACTTTCTGGAGATCCGCTCGCATGTGCGGAGGTACGGAAAAGATACCGGGGGTTTTATCAAGAAGAATCACACTTCTGTTATGCGAAGAGAATGTCTTCGTTACACGTACTGGGCAATGTCTTTCTCGGCAGGATCAACGCGTCCTGAGTGGGGCGGGTATGCCAGAGGTTGCACCGTGGGGTACCTCCGGTATCGTTACATGAATGAAGAGGAAGTAAGTTACTTTCGCAGGATCGACTTGTGATCCATTTCGCGACTATACTACGCCTTTCAAAGGTCGGTATTGCTCTTAGTTAGATCAATTATTCCTGTCGGGACGGCTATAGTACAGCCGCTATACCACCACTCCAAAATCTGCCTTAGTACATGAATCTCGCAGGACTATGAGGTTATCTCGTTGATACGACTGAAGTAGTTCTGGTTCGGACGAAGTGAAGGGATGAATCTCGCTATTTGCGAGACTGATCTGTTGATGAAGATCTCCAATGGCAAGCTATCACTCAATGTAGACCACACTTTTTCAACAGTATAAGCTCGTAACATGAACACGCCGCGTTCGAGTACGGGGATCGTCCTACTCAATGTTCCTGCGAAGTTGATATGTCGGGGAGCTACTGCTCATCCAGTGTTCAATACCATATAATATGTGCTTCATATAGTGTTCTCTTGGCGAGCAGACGAATCGCATTTCCTGCGTAAGAATCGTGCTATTGGCAAATCTTGGTTGCGCTGTCATTGGCGAAATCGGCAGGTATAGAACGCGTATGAATCGGTTGGCGCTCCAATTCAGAGATTGTATGGGTCTATGGCATAGAAGATGACACTGGATGATAAGTAATGTTATCATCGTGCAAGCACTCGGAGATATCGTATCTATTTCCAAGGCCCGGGCGGCATCCTTTAACCTCTATTGGCAAGCTTCGACGACTACGTTCACCCTGAGATCGCGTCTACGATTTCTTCAACATCAGCATTCACGCATTCTCATTACTTTATTACACTTTGATTCAGGGGCTCATTTATATTCTCCTAAATCTTGCAATTTAGTACTTCTGAATTTCACTGAGTTGCTTCAAAATGTGTAGCGCTGTGGTTTGTATATCCTCGTAGAACATGCTCACTGCTATCAACCAGAGTAACAGCTGATTTTGAAAGCAATAGACTCACATAACCGCAAGAGTTGCTTAACTTGCTGAAATCGCAACCGAGCTCACTGGTTTCAACACAAGGGCACGACATCATACAAGATAGTCAAACTGCCGAATAATTTACGAATTGATCATCTCATTCGGCGTCGTTGGTGTTCCCGCATTTCCGTTTCAGTAACTGGAGTCTCACTCGTCTCCGCTCGCCTCAAACGTTTTGCTTGATTACGTAACTTCTTCTCATCCGAGACGAGCATGATCTTCGATTCGGCGTCTGAAAGCCGTTTCTCGGCAACCTCGCTAGGGACGCTGCTGTAGAGTTCTGGATCTGCCAAAGTGATCGAGTACTGGCTCGGCTTGCAGTCAACCCGCTTTTCTTGAATGGTCGAAAAGAAGTCAGTAAGGACAGTCTGAATAGCAGGAGAATCTCCGGCGGCGTTCTTGACCAGAACAACAGCATAATCAGCATCGGGATTCTGGGCAACAGCGAGCTCGTTACGGGACATATCGAATTTGACGGTACCCTCAGATCGCAGTGTTCCCTTCACTTCGAGTCGGACCCACCGAGGACCATCCTCCCTCGGCTTAGAGAACACACCTTTGGTATCGAGAAACTCGAAGTCGTACCCGAGTCGATCGTCCACACCCTCCCGCCCGTGGGTCGGATAGCAAGCCGTCCTCGCACTCGTCTTCCACCAGTCAAGTGAGAATTCGTCACCATAGACCTCCTCAAGGGTGTGTGCGACGAAGAGTTCCGCCAAGATACCAGCGTCTTCCAACTTCCCCTTTATAGCAGAATCAAAGACCATCCGAAGACCACTGCCTGAATGTCGTTGGTTCCGATAGAAGCGGCCTTGAGGGGCCCGCAGTGGATGATAAGAGGAATTACTCCGTGAAGCGCCCAAGCTGGAAGACGCGGCACCAGCGCGAGGGGGATCCTCAGGCGCAGATCCCGATGACACCGACTCAGGAGAAGATGACATTCGATATCAACTAAGTCGCTCCTCATGCCACCATACCGATTTCCATGACAGCCTCCCCAAGACTACCACCCGGGATCTCCATCGGAACCACGCGTGCACCCCTACTGACTACGCAGATTGGGAATTTGAACACAACAGAGGTGGAAGGAGAGAGAGAGAATCTTCTTGCTTAGTATATTGACGTCATCATTCGAGCGGTAATATGCATATTTACGTAAAGACACCATCAGCATAGTCATCATCACTGCGATCTACTCCCACTCAATCGTAGCCGGCGGCTTTGAAGATACGTCGTACCTACTCCCATAAAAGATACAGAATAGGCCCGCTAGAGGCACATACACAACACGGTTGATGCCCTTGCATTCATTGATAATACGAGTACTGATACGCCCCAACAAGTCGTAGGGCATCTGATACCAATCAGCCGTCATGAAATCTGTGGTCTGAACCTGACCAGCCAGAATGACCAAATCATTCGCCTCTGGCCAAAGACCTACTGCACGGAGCACGAGAGTCCTCTCGTAAGTACGTTGATCGCCCATCACACCAACAGAACGGACGGTGGGAAGGAGTACCTAAGGGGACACCTCAGCAACGACGAGGTCCGTTAAAGCTATAACTACAGCAAACGCTTGACCGATGTTGTCATACTCTCCACTGGCATGCAACTCCTCCATATAGATAGCATCAGCTTCACGTAGAAGATCTGAGGAGATACTCCCATACTCACTAAACAGCGTCGAATGAGCTTACCAGCCTTCTCCTTATCAACAGAATCAATGATTCTGATAGCAAGGCCTGGTCCCGGGAAGGGATGGCGATTGACCGAATCAGCATGAAGACCTGACATACGAGCTCTACACTGCGAGAGCCGTACTGCGACCTACCCAATTCAAGACCGAGCTTCCTGACCTCATCCTTGAATAGCAGTCTGAGGGGCTCCAAGATCTGCATCTTCATTCGTGCCGGGAGACCACCAACGTTATGATGAGTCTTGATAGTAGCTGAAAAAGCCAACGGTGTGCCCTTGGAGATGTGCTAGGCCTACTGGAAGGACCCTTATAGGACGTAGATTCGATCACATCCGGGTAGAGAGTTCCCTGGAGGAGTACGCAGTTCTCAGGCTCCAAGTTCATGTTATGGATGGCCTTCTCGAAGCTGTCGATAAAGAGACCTCCAATGATCTTTCTCTTCTTCTCCGGCTCCTTCACGTCCTTCAGTTTAGTCATAAAGTCTTCACTGGCGTCCAACACTTGGAGATTCAGACCAGGAAGATGCGAATCCAAACGCTCCTTCACCTCAGCGGCTTCATTTTTACGCAAAAGGCCAGTGTCCACCATGAAGGGATGGAACCTGGGTGAATCGATTACCCACATTGTGACCATTGTCACTCCTCACTTATCTCCCAGCGCTCTATACACCAACGCTGCGGCGACTGAACTATCGACACCTCCCGAAACAGCCGCAATAACATGCTTATCTCCAACGACACCTGATCGGGCAAGCGATCTCAATATGCTCTTTACACCAACTCCTACGCTTGATCCTATCCAACTCCTTCTGTACGAAATTCTGCATATTCCACTGAGGCTTGCAGCCACAAATAACCACCGAGAACGCCCTGAGCATCTCAGCACCATCAACACTATGAGTCACTTCGGGATGGAACTGAATACCGAACCTAACACGACCAGTATACATTCCCACACAACGACAAGACCACTACATTTTCCTGCCATCCGTAGCCTGTATAACAGCGTGTTCGCATGTATCAGTATTGCCAACCACCTCAAAGCCCTCAGGTAGCTTCGTCACCTTATCCCCATGGGACATCCACACCCGAGTAGCATCTTAAATAGATCAACGACCCTCCTTCAACTATGGAGGCCCTCAAGCTACTTACTGCCATCAATGCCAGTGAACAGCCCTTCCCTTTTCTTATCCTGCTTGAAGTGGACCACTGCATGCCCGTACTCTCTCTTCTTACCAGGTTCCACTTTACCACCATGAGTATACCTAATTCAAATCTTGCAATCTTGCCAAATCTTACATTTCCTCAACGTACACCATCTCCTGTAGACCATAACAGATCCCCAATACCGGGATCCTATTGGTGTCAATCCACTTCCAAACCTCAGGAGACAGATGAGGACTGCCTTCATCGTACACTGAGCTCGGACCACCCGAAAGGACAATCCCCGCAGGATCAAACTTCTTGATCTGAAGGGAACAACAACATCAACATGAAAATAAGAGTCATGTGCCTAGGGTAACTGATAAGCTTACACACGTGCTTATCAACGGATCAACGGATCATTGACTTGACAATAGCCCTATTGCAGTCAGTGACCACAATAGAGGCATTTGGAGTTAATCGTTCGGGGTTGATATTGCTACTGTAGTACTATCACTTTCGAATGATTAACTCCGTAGGTAACGACACGCTTCAGCTAGCACTAGGAAGACTAGACCTCGAGCCAAGGAGTAACGCAGTAATAAGGTTGCTCATGGGGAAATACGGAAATAGTTGGGTTCTTACCTCCTCAACGGTGGCCAAGCACGACCTCAGCTCGGAGTAAACGCCAATGTCGCGGCAACGACGACAGATCAGATGGGAGAACTGGGAGCCAAAGTCGAGCACCAGGATACGGGAGAGCCTGAGCAGAAGATACACCCAGGTTCGAATCCCACGCCCTGCAATTCTACCCTTCAGACACTTCTAAACCTTCCTCAGTGTGATGACCAGCCAGGTCTCTGAGATTGGGGATGTCGCGATCCTCGACAGTACTACCGCTGTTGGTGGAAGACATAGAGAGAAGGAACCAGTAATGGTATCTTCATACCACTCGTCGTACACATCCTCAACACAACCCCCATTGCAGGCGCTATAGACCTTATAATAGTACGTTACGTCCACTGCTACTTCACTGTACTATCGTCTACGACCCAGTGTGTGCTTTGGCTTCACTTCAGCCTCATGGACCTTCAAGTGGAAAACAGTAGAAAATGACAGACACTGACAGGAGCCACTACCTTATGAATGAGAATCTTAGTCACTGGATAATTCTTAGCAAACTCATACCCCTTACTCCAGTCGTTACCTAATTGGACCTATTCTGTATCTTACGAGGAGCAACCTAAGATACTACCAACAGCATAAGCCAGCATATCCCCCTGAGTGCTGAACTTTGCTGCAGTAATAGGATAGTGACAGTTCTGGAAAGCCTTCAGTCGCTGCTTCTGTTCCTTGTCCCAAACCATGAACGTACCATCGCCACCAGCGGTTACAAATGTGCCTATAAAAGTCTCTCCCTATCTCAACAACGATTCGCAAGGGTACTGAAAGTCGGATGGAAATCCACAGCATTCACAGGGTATATTTCATCGTTCGTTCCTGACCAACAACATATATACCATCAAAAACATATCCCTTTTATTCTCACTGTGGCACTTGAACGTGAACGACTTGTCCTTCATATTTTCCTCAACATAGGCGATCGAGCAACGACCTTCAATACTCGCAATCTACACACACGTGCTGTTGCTACCCCCAACATGGCCTTCCTACTGCGTATCCGCTCTTTTCTGGGAAGCATGCCACACACCGCGTTTGCATCTTTAACGCGCTCTGAATGCTTTTATAAGGGTTAGGATTCTGCGTCAACGTCTGTAGGTTGTACACTATCACATGCCGATCTGCCGTAGCACACACCAGCAGTGGGAAACTGATGAGGAAAACTATTGAAGACCAAGACAGTGGACAGAGCCTCACTTGCAATCCATGGCATATAGACGTTCAGGAAGCTGCAAGGTCGCCACTGGGTTGGGCTGACCAGGTGACCAGAACCTCAACGATTTGTCCCACGACCCAGAGATGCACATCTTCATCTCCTCTACCCATACAACCTTCTTTACCTATCACAAACGAATACCAGACATGACAGAACATAACCCGCCCGTAGCGATATAGCAGTATGGCTCAAGAGTACATCTAAGTGCTATATCGCATACAGCCCTCAATTTCAAAACCTCGTCAACACGAGGTAGGTATCTCATTCGACTGGTCTGTTCGTTTCACACTTCAAGAGCTCTCAGCCGAAGCGCAGTATGCGGGAAATTCATTCGGGTCTATCGTCATTCGAAAACGCACATACTCAGAAATTACATAGTTTGCATGATCACTTATTCCTCATCACAAGAGCCTCCTACCGGTGCATCGTGTTGTCCGATCTGTTGATCTCGCTGTGCTTGAAGGTTATACATCTTCACCTTATTATCACATCCAGCTGATATCACATTCGCCCCATCCTTCGTGAAACAACACGACATCACCGGCGCCTCGTGACCATACCTGAGCGCTATCCTCGTCATAACACCACAACAGACCGTCCCAACTTACGCCAGTTTCGGTGTCGCTTGAATGCTATTGGAACCCGAGGAGCCTCCAAAGGCACTTGTGCTGGCCTGTGTCGTGACTTCCCATATCCTCACTTGCTTATCCCACGATGCAGCGGCCAGAATGTTAGCCGCAGGGGACCATGCGAGTTCGCTGACAGTATCACCAGGGGACTGGGCGACCTCATGACCTGATACAGGGTACGACTTAGGGAGAGGAAGGGAGCTTACTATTGTTCGTATTGGGATTCTTAGGAGCAACCGCGCCACTGCCAAAACCACCACCGCCGAACGCACTACTGCCAAACATTTTGCGGCCACAAGTGAACAAGCTCCCACTGGAAAGACAGCTCCCATTGGCACACACTGTAACACGAGCGCATCTCAGGTCGCGGGAAAATATGCATAAATGACTTACACACGTTCAGCGTAAACTACGATTTACATCACCAATAAAATTCTAACGATAGCCCCGACCTATTCCGTATCTTTCCAAGGTAACCTTAAGATACTCATGCCAGTCCAACTCTTGTCCATAATAGACCACAGAAACCTGATCTTGGAATCAACAAGACAACGTCAACGACCTGAAGAAGACCATGGACAACATCATACAAGCCCCCCTCAATCTGAGTACCTACACCAGAGAGCGTCTACATCTCATCTATCACGGCCAACATCACACCCAACACGGGGACTGCACGGGCCTCATCAATCCCGAGTTAATAACATGCTGATCTATCCCCTTAACGTTACACGAATTTACCACTACTTCACCTTTGACGCCTTAAGACAATATTGCAGTCCAGCGTAGATACAACCGTCATATATTGTACGTCTGACTCGACCCAGAGGGGGAGAATCTCTTAAAACATATCGATCATCTAGGCGTGCGCTAACTCAACGACGCGCTACTCGAATCGAATATTGTTTGGAAATTGTGGTATAATGGTTAAGGGAATGCGGCGACTTACATTTGACCCACGTTCAATTCGTGGTTAGCTATTCCGGGATCAATTTTCAGTATCGCGTTCTCTGAACAATGAGTATATGCAATCCTGAGATCGATCGCGAAAAATTTTACAACGGAGCCTTGACGTCCACACGAGGTCCTTACAACATGCGTACTCGTCTTTTGATACCATAAATTTCGGAAATGATGTGAGTTTCATGCATGAGGCCCAGTAGAAGCCTCACAGCAGTGCATATATGCTTGGGCAGATGGTTTTAACCCTTCTCGGCGGAGTCAGAGAACATCTCTAGTTCAACTTCGTCACGTTGACGGGGACAGCTTCCGAAATGGTGACCATTCAGGTTCCGCTTGAGAATCCACTTCAAGGTAGTTAGTCATCTACTGGTACTCCCTAAAGATCTCGTATGCAGCGATCTCATTCAGATGCTTCATTATAGATCGTTACCAGTCCAAAGCCGATGATAACAGTGTCACTTTGTGGCGCGAA